CCTCGCTCTTAAAAAGTCAGTCCTGTCTGACTATCTTGGTCAAATATATCACGTCTTTTCTTTAATCGGCGCAAGTTTTCAGGTATTGTAAGTTGCCCAGCGAATTTATTTGGGTGCCTGTGTAGTCGTGATTTGTATTTGTTGCTGTAGTCATCAATTACATCCTTAACCATGGGGATATCAAGTAGTTTGTGGATCTCAGTTGTTTTTATATATATGGTGCATCCGAAAGTTGTTTCAATATATAGTTTTGAACTCGTTGTATTGTCATTATGTTGGAGTCACTAGCAGAGCCCCATAGTTGTATCCCATATGTCCAGATTGGCTTAAACATTGCCTTGTAAATGAGAAGTTTGCTATCGATAGCCAATCTTGAATTTCTACCAAGCATCCAGTAGAGACTTCTATATTTATTATTTATTTCTTCCCTTTTCATTTGGACGTGCTTTTTCCAAGTAAGTCTGCGATCTAAATGCATTCCTAGATACTTAACTGTATCTTGATGTGGAAGTTGAGTACCATTTAGGGTAACTGGTGCACAATCGCCTTTCCTAAGGGTAAACGTTACATGGACTGATTTAGTCACATTGGCAGCAATTTTCCACTTAGTTAGCCATTTTTCTACTTCATTTAGGTTTTTTTGTAAGATACTTTAATTGGACATTTAGCAAGGCTGTATCGTCAGCAAACGTTGCTGTTGTAATTTCATATGAGGTAAGTCGGATGTGTACAAAATGTATAAGACAGGTCCTAGTACAGAGCCCTGTGGTACTCCTGCACGGATTTCATAGAATCCTGAGGTGCAGTCATTTTCTTTCACCTGAAATAGCCTATTGGACACATAGGACTTGAATATTGAATAGAATGTGTGTGGAAGCAAACATTTAATTTTATATAGTAATCCCCTGTGCCAAACTTTATCAAAGGCCTGTTGGACGTCAATGAACACAGATGAACAATATTCTTTCTTTTCATAGGATTTTCTAATTTTGCGGCATACTCTATGAACTTGTTCAACAGTGGCATGTTCTTTTCGAAATCCGAATTGATGATCAGGGATAATAGATTTTTCTTTGAGAACACTTGTTAGTCTGTGCAGAAGGGACATTTCAAACAGCTTAGACATGACAGGCAGTAAACTAATTGGTCTATAAGAAGCAACCTCATGAGCCGGTTTAAGGTTTGTGTATCATTATGATTTGAGATACTTTCCACAAGTCTGGATAATGTCCAACTCTTAAAATTGCATTATATAACATTGTGAGATACACTATGGCTCTGGAAGGCATCTCTTCAAGAACCTTTTTGTCGATGAGGTCAAACCCTGGTGCCTTGTTGTTTTCCATGGTTTTTATGTTTCCATAAATCTCTTTGGGTGTCACTAGTTTTAGAGGAAGGTCTAGCTGAAGATCCTGTTCAAGAATTATCCATATCGTCTACATTCGGAGCAGCATTGTTGGGCATGAAGACTCTACTAAGATGATCTGCAAAAGCTTCAGCTTTACACTGGCCTGTTTTAGCCCACTTTCCGTCGTGTTTCCTAAGAGGTGGCTTGTGATATAATGGTCGATTAAAGTTTTTACTTGCTTTCCATAGTGAGTAATTAGATGCCTTTGTGGCAGTCAGTCCTTCTAAATAGGTCTCTATTGCGGCAGTATTAGCCTCAGAAATCAGGGCTTTTAGTTCTTTGGTTGCTTTATTGAGCAGTTTTTTGTCACTAGGGTGTCTACTAGTATGCCACACACGCCGAAGTCTCCGCTTTTCAAGTATTTTAAAACGTATACTTTCAGAGTATACTTTGCGTTGTGGACGTTCAGTAGATTCAGGAGTACACATCCAACAACTTTCTTGAATTATTGTAGTTATAAATTTAGTTGCATCATCAATGTCAGATTCAGTTTTAAGTGCAATTTTTAGATCAAGTTTTTGGTTTACAAGTTCACGAAAAGAGTTCCAGTCTGTTCTTTTATTATACAATTTTGCTTTTATATCTGTATTAAGAACAGTATTTCCTACTGTCAATATTACTGGGACATGATTAGAATGAGCATCCAAGCATGTCTTTATCTGGTAGAAAAGTCTAGATAAGCCCTTAACGACAAAGAAGTCTATGACATCCGGTAATCTATTGGGATCAGCGGGCCAATTGGTAGGCTCTGCAGTAGAAATTGTGACAATATTATTCCTGTCTAGGCTCTTCTTAAGTTCTCTACCTCTCGTATTGGTTAATCTAGATGCCCAATGAACATGCTTTGCATTCTCTCTCGCGGCCCTAAGGTATCAAATAGGTCATCATATTGCTCGTTTGTTATTTTATGTTTAGGAGGAGAATAAATCGCAGAGACATTGAATGTTCCGTTTCGATCTTCAACCGCAATAGAGGCTGCTTGTATGTGGGCTTTTTTAAATTGCGGAAGTTCGTAGTGATGTATGCCACTTCTCACGATAATGGCAGCCCCAGCATGTCCTGTACCGTCGGGATGATTGGTAGCATATATGTTGTATTTCTGTATTCTAATACTACTGTTTGCTGTAAAATGAGTTTCGGATACTAATAATATGTCTATGTTGTGAGTATGTAGTAGAGCTTCAACTTCTTCTTTATTTGGAGATAGCCCGTCTAGGTTCCAAGTAGCTATTTTAAGGGAAGTCATTTTGTAATTTTAGACACTAGCGTTGTTATGAGGTTGATTAAAGTACTCATCTGTTGTAATATTAGATCAAATTTTTCTGCTTGTTTTAAAAGCATTTCTTCCACTGTTTTATTTGGTGGTATTGTTGAAGTCACGTAATCTACATCTTTAGTGTTTTTGCTGAGTCTCAATACATCTGAGTATTTCATGTGTTTATTAACATCTGGATTTGGGCTTGCTCTTACATCAAAGTGCTGTGGTGGAGGTTGAATGTTTATATTGAGTCCTGTTTTAGCATTTTCTCTAGCCTTTATGTGTGACTGCTTATTAGTTTTTCTTTTTAGTATTTCTCTGTATACCTCACAGCCTTTGAAATTGGCTGGATGGGCACCGAGACAAAGAGCACATTTTGCAGGAGTGTTACGGTCGGTCTTTGGACATTTAGCCGTTTTATATATTTTGAAATGGCCTCATGCAATAGTTTTTAGAGTGACCATATTGCTGGCATCTTTGGCATTGTACTATTATATTCCGTTTCCGTGGGTCTTCTATAGTTACTGACTGATGATGAATGTATTTAATATTTTTTACCAATTTATTATTGGGATCCTGTAAAAGGTTAGCAAAAAATGTGGAAGTAGGTTTCTTTTCAGGTCCATATATATTATTTCCCCTACCACTTTGTTCCCCGTCTCTTCTAGTGCTTCTTTAATTAATTTAATTGGTGTTGTGTGATGAAGATTTTTAAACAATTCTATAAGACCGTTTGTCTTTTCTATTGAATGTATGTCCAATAAGACCTCTTTCCCTTACAACATCAATTACCTTCTTGTATGCTTCCACATTAGTACAATTGATCCTTAATTGGTTTTGATTTACAATTTTAAATGTGAAATCTGCTTTATTCACAACACTTTCTAAGAGTTCTGTAAGCTTATTGACATCATCAATACCATACAGGATAATTGGTGGTGGTTTATTGACCTTGACCGTTTTATTGTGTTCTGTGGGGTTATCTTCATTTTCATCAATAGAAACATCTATGTATGCTTAAATCTTTAAAATTACACAACGGAGTTTGAAGCAGTTGTTTTTAATAGATAGCGATCAAGAGCAAGGTTTATATATATACTGCATGTACACCCGTGCGACGCCGGGGCGAGTAGCTAGTTACATTTATAACATAGTGACTAGTTGCCAAGTTCATTGTTATATGATTAATGTTACATTACATTTACAGTAAGTGTCCCTTTTAAGTATTTTTGCAGTTGTTATTATTTAAACCTTAATAATAACCGCAAAGAAAATTTAAATTAATGAACATAAAATAAAATAAATATTTCATCTTTCCAGGGATGGCGGAAGATGGAGGAGGCTTTTACCCAGGCCACAGAATAAGAAAAAATAATAAACCAAAAAAAAGTATAATGTAAAAAAATATTATATGGAAATTAAAAGCTATAAATAATAATAATATTCCATCGTCACATGGAATATCTTGTTCCTCTAATAGTTATTATATGTCATGCAATCAGTCTTACAGACTATAAACATATTTGTTGATCATATCAAATCTCATGAGAGGTGACTCTGCATTGAGCATCCAGCCTCGGATATTGCAGCTTATGCCAGGTAATTGAAGTCTAGTATTGTACATCTCTTAAGACATGCCATTTCCTACGATTAAATAGAAAAGTGACATTTTTCAAAATTAGAAGCTAGAATTGCCACCTTTTAGGTAATAAATAAATCAACTAGCTTTTGCCCGTGCCTTCTCTAAAATTTCTAAACATCTCTCTGGAATTTTTCAGAATCCTTTCTTAGAGGATGCCTACGTCATAGTAGCTTTATGCATGCAAGTCCCAGCCCGATTGGTTTAAAATTGACAAAGTTTCATACAAACTTTCTCCCCTTATTTTATCCCCTTGGGGGTAGAATTAATCAAAATCCTTTCTTAGCGGATGGCTACGTCAAAGCATCTACCTGCATGCCAAATTACAGCCAGATCCGTCCAGTGGTTTAGGCTGTGCATTAATAGATCCCTATGTCAATAAGTCACTTTTGAGTTATATATATTTTGATTAAATTAACCACACCATCTTAATCATTATCTAAATACTTTTAAAATAATATATAATACTTATGTGTAAATTTAAAACTTTAAAGGAAAAATATAATTTAAATAAATTAAAAAAAACTTAAATTGCTTGTCTTCTAAAAAAATTTACATTTTGAATACTGCCCTTTTTCTATTTAACCAACGATTTACGTCTCTTCAGACATGCCATTTCTATTTCTATTGATATTAAACTTATATAGGTATGAATTTGTGAGTTCAGATAGTGAACAATTAATATTAAAACATACCTGAGCTGTGTGAAGAGTTACAATCATCTGACATTTTGGATTTCCTGAAAAATAAATAATTAATATTTGTAGGTAAATTAAATTACTATTTGTAGGTCTGTATAAATTCTAACAAAAGTTATCGAGAAATATTTAAGGTACATAAAATAAATTGTAGATTATTTTGAAATTGCATTATAATACAAAATAAGAATCATAAAATTATTCAATAATATAATTTTACTATTGAAGAGTTATTCCATACTCATTAAAATGTGTTTAATTCTTATTGTAAGCCTAAATAAAGCCTAATAATAAATTTCCAATTAATGTAAAGAATTTAACAGATTTTTACAATATTTTAATATATTATTACATAATAAGTATAATAATACTATACTGTGTTTTTTAAGCAAATAAATTATTATTATTATTATTAAGTATATGTAACAAATTAAACCAGGTCTGAAGCTTTTGAAAATGGTAAACAATGAAAAAAATACTTATACATCTGTACGAGTCTCTACATGCATATAAATATAAATACGGTACCATGCACCAAAATATCAATTTTTTTTACAATTTTTGTCTGTCTGTCTGTCTATTTGTTCCGGCTAATCTTTCGATTTCTGATAATAATCTTTCCGAATAATCCGATTTTGACGGGACTTTTGACAGGTAACTGAAGTAATAAGGAGTAACTTAGACTATTTTTATTTTAGAAAAATAATGTTAAATTCCACATGGACAAAGTCGCAAGAACAGCTAGTCACATCATATGAATATATTTAGGACAACTATATAAATTAACTTTTAACTCAATACTACAATTTTGAGGGTATAGTAAGATATCTATTAGAAATTTCAACTATTTGTTTATACCTTAAATATGATATTAATTAATAAAATCTATTTATAAATGGAACATTGTATCATTATAGACATATACAACTATATACTGAGTGTATTAAACTTTGCTATTAAATAATTATGTTTAATAAAACACGACAACAATGTAAAAATCTTAGTTTTGTCACTCATAATAAATAATAATAATAGCTACTTTAACTAATATGGAACAGCTGTTTTCTAAATCCATTATTTTAAATATACATTATGTACAGTAATTCAGTTTATGAGCATAAACACTTTGGATTTTTATATCGTGAATAGAAAACTATTGTTTGAATATACCGCGCGTAATATCACACAACGAAACAATAACAACAAAACAAAAATATAAGCAATTATAATTAATTATTCTTAGGCCTTGGTTTCGAGTCAACAAGGACCACGTTTTTTCACTATGGAACATACGATTTATTGTACTTGTAGACTTACGAGTTAGGTTTCGTATTCGTTGTACAGCTGGTATACGATACTCAGATCCTCAGATGGCACGTAACAGTTCAACACACACAGATAATCACATTTTATACGACATTAAACGATCAAAACATTTCAAACAATATTCGTGTGAACATATATTAATATTTCCTTAAAACGAATTAAAACGTATGTTTTGATGAGAATTTGACTGACATGAATTTATTATATTTAATTATTTAACATTCATTGCCTTGTGCGTTTGATTTGATGATTTGTAAATACGGTCATGTTTTTGTAAGTTTTATTGGCTGATTATATACTTATTCGAAAGTGACAGTACATCCACCAATAGAAGTCTCCGGTTTGTACTTGTGATGTGAAATAGATATGTCATTATGTATAGGACCAATGAGATATGTATAATTTGACATTTTTGATGTCAGGCATATACACATAGAGGCAAATAATAGTAGTAGTATATTTTATTCACAAGTGGATAGGAATAGAGGCAAATAATTCGTGTCAAGAGAAATAGTTGATTAAATAGCAGTGGCTCTTTTTAATACCATAGGAATCACGAGACAGGAATATTCAATATTCCTGTAATTTTGCAGCATAGTAATATAAGAAATAATAGAAATATACATGTATGGAAAAACAATAACTGTATAGATGTCTGAAATAAAATTCAGCGCATAAGAAATCGCAAATTTTAATTAAATGGTCATAGTAACTACCCCTTGCACTCTCTTAGTCTCTTTCTTAGAGTGCTTAGTTATAATGAAAACTAGACTTAAAATATGATGGTAACCCTGTGTCAGTCAAATTGTCAATGTCAAATTATTTTTCTCTGTTCTGTAAAATATATCTAATGAAATCATGTGTAATTCTGTTTTAATGCGTCATAAAATTGTTTCAGTTCTCTCAATTTCTTGCTTTGTTGTAAAATTGTGAATCTTATAGTCATAAGTAGATAATTAAGAAATAATAAGACGTAAATATTGTTACAATATACCTGTGCTTTATGTGCTAAGAAGCAGAATGTTTTCATCCATATTTGGGAAACGAAAATCGCCGGTGGAAGACGTTACGCCTCCAATTCCTGGCCCGAAAGCTGATGACTTTGTTATAGTCGACCCATCATCACCTGGCGGCAGTATATACCCTAGCGTAAGCGGCGGCACATTGCCAGTGATCTCTCCTAAAAGACCTGCACCTCCAGCCCCAACGATGAAAAAAGCAGATCAAATTTTCCACTACTTGCAAGGTGTCCCTTTCTCACTATGCCGCGAGTTGCAAATGGCTTCGAATAAAGATTCCTTCGCGTCGGAAATTGCAGACCAATTGGCTTTTATGACAAATAAAGTGAATCTGAACAGTTACGAATATGAATTTTCACTCGAGAGAAGTGTATTGAAAGAATTAGAATCATAGATATGACTACAGTTTTATATTTGTATTGTTGTTTATATTTTCGTATGTAAGTAATGGACATGACCTTGAGATAAAACCTGCTGGATTGATTGGAATAATTTGTCAAGGAATATCCTTAGAAAACTGGTATAATTGTAAGTATAAACATTACATATTCTTTAACATATGTGTAGTCTTTTTTTATGGATGAATGTAATAATTATAATTAATAGAAATAGAAATAATCTTTATTCAAATAAACTCATTACAAGCACTTTTGAATAGTCATATTTTGATTCTACCACTCATTCGGAATGCAGATTCATCACAAGAAGAATGAGCAAGAAACTTGTGTGTTGCTCTTTTTAATAGATGTTTTTTTTTTATATAAATAATTACAGTATAACAAGTAAGAGGCATGCGATAATCAACATAGAAGTTGCTACGCACTCATTATTAATGTAATCAGATAATATTGTCAGTGCTATGGATTGAAAGTTTTTCTATAAAAACATTATTATCGTTAACGAATTCTTCAATTTTATAGTAAGCTTTTTTGCAAAGGAATATATAATAATAAATAAATAGTTCTGGACACTTAACACAACACAATTTAGTCCTGTGTTAAGCAGAGCTTGTGTTATAGTTACTAGGCATCTGATATAAATACATATTTTTTTCCTAAATATATACTTATATAGAAAAAATATGAATGATTGCATCAAGTGAGGAATTGAAATCGGGTTCGATTCCTCACATGGCTCAAACATTTGTATTCATGAGTATGCTTGTTTGTATCGGTCTGGGTGTTTTCAATGTATAATATGTACATATTTACAAAAAAAATCTATGTATTTGTATCAGGTATCTCTTAAATTAGAATAAATATCCCCATAACACAAGCTTTAGCTAGCTTAACTTGGGTCTAGATGGCATTGTGTGAATTGTCCCGAGATATTTACAACATGTATATGGTATAAATATAATCTCGGGACAATTCACACAGACACAACAGGGCAATTGAGAGGCTAAATGCAGACAGAAGAACATACAATGCCCATGTATATTAAAACAAAATACATACAGTTTTTATCATATAATAATTCAGTCACACAATAATTAAATTTATAAAATTATATTAAATACATTATGATGCTTAATTACTAATACCAATTGCATATTAAAGTCAAACAAAATGTAAAAATAAATACATTTTTTCCTCATGTAATGAAACATTGATATAATAAAACAAGTTTAATTTTAAAACATTAATTAATATTTATTTTAAATGTGTAATCATGTTTTTAATTATTTATTATAATTTATTATAGCAGTGTTTCCCAAAGTTGTCTATATCAACCCCCAGGGTCTATGACAAACTGAAAGGAATCTACGACAGCAATCATCTTGTTGTTTTTACTTTATGTTTTTAACTTACTTTACTACAGTTAGAAATTTACAAAAAATCAATACCAGGTAAGAATAGGGGAATCTACCCAAAACCGAAAAATATGACAAGGGGTCTACAACACAAAATAATTTGGGAACCTCTGATATACAGTCATTTGTTTTAGACGTAATGACAGTAATTTATTATTTTGTTTCAGATGCAAAATCAACATAATCTTTGAAACATCATGGTACCAACACATATATATAAATGCAAGAATATAGATACATATATAAAAAAACAAGGGTTATCAAGATCACTGAAGATACTTTGACGTTTACAATATATTCTGTATTGCTTTATTTACTCTTTTATATTTTAGTAACAAATCTTAATCTTATATCTTATATATAAAATTCTCATGTCACAGTTTTCATTCCCATAACAGCTTGACCGATTCTCATGAAATTTTGTGAGTGTATTAAGTAGGTCTGAGAATCGGCCAACATCTATTTTTCACCCCCTAAATGTTAGGGGTAGTCCACCCCTAAATTTTTTTTTTTAAAGCAAAACAATGTTTGACAGTACAGCTAGTGATATTATAAACGCAAAAGTTTGTGTGTATAAATGTTTGTACTCTTTCACGTAAAAACTATTGAACGGATTTTGATGAAATTTACAATAATATAGCTTATGCATCTGAATAACATATAGGCTATATTTTTTTATTGAATTTCAATGCGGGTGAAACCGCTTGCATGGGTAGTAAGTAATACAATATAACTAGACTTAAAATAGATTAAAATATAATAGTATTATCCTTAAATAATAATCACAAGTATAGTTTGGATGTGACAGGAAGCCATAGCTCTAGTCATTGATGACTACGTAACATTCAGTCTCAAAGTAAGTGTTCTTGTGATGTTTTTCAGTAATAAATAAATACTATTAAATGCCGACATATTATAATATTGTACATAATTAAAGTTATTTTTAGTGTAAGAATAAATATACGTAATAAGATAACAATATTTGCTGTAAGTCGAATGCTATGTACATCATAAATAATTATTTCAACATACTTCTGCTCTATTTACACTCAGTCCGAGTGGGCAGAGAAGTGAGCAGCGCGAGAGTGGAAACACTTCCCATGCCATTGGCGCTGCCCGGCGCTCCCTCGATTGTCGGTTTTTCGTGCGCGAGTCAAAGGACTGGCAGCGCGAGTGGCAGCGTGTTTTTACATTCAGCCCTCTCGCTCAGTTGTCGCCCGGCAATATTGTAACGGCTGAATGTAAACGTAGCAACATATTACGTTATGTATCATTATGCTCCTTGAAATTACTGGCTATACTTCTTACAGCAAGTTTTGTTATGTAAAAACAATAATTGTAGAATGTAAATAAAAATATAAAACATACAATTATGACTTTTACTTTAAATTTATTTTCATCATCAGCCCACTGCTGTTCACAAATGATGTCCAGCAGTGGACTGCAGTGGGCTAATAACAAATCTATTTACTGATTTTATAAAAACAGCGGACTACACATGTTCGCAAAATCTCGTATCCATCAGGCAAGAATTGGCCTACAGTCATAAGTCCTTCAGCTGGTTTAGAGAGCCACCTGCACTCGTACCTTATCGTTCTGCGAGGCTGTAAAGATGGCTCCCGCTAGCAGCATTACAATAGTTCAAAAAAATCTTACGCATGAGACAATTTAGGGCGCTGCCACCGCGATTCCGTGAACATCGCCATCGGTTTTGGAACATGTGTACACCGCTTAACAAAGAAGTAAATAAAAAATTCCTTTTAAGTTTAAAATTAATCTGTGCATGGATGTGTAAACCGCTTAACAACGAAGTAAATAAAAAAATCCTTTTAAGTTTAAAATTATCTTTCTTAATTATCTATCTGTGCATGGTCAGACTCATACTTAAAAGTATATATCAAGTTTAATGATTGATAAGTCATTCAACAGGGGAAGGGTTAGTAGTAATATGGACTGTTGACCCCATGTCAGGTTAACCTCTACACAAGTTCCCCCTGGAAGCCATTATGATAAATTCCTGGTGAATTTGTCACGATGGGCGAACAGAGCTGACCTCATGCTCATCTTATTATCCTCGTGGTCCGCCAGCGTGAACCGTTAACGCCGACGGGTGACGGACGTACAGACGGACTCATTATAAACCATTAAAATAAAACCTCAATAAACAAAATTTACAGATTCTCAAATTTTACAATATGAATTTTCATATTTTCTTCAAATATGTAAGTCTAAAAATCGAATAAAACATCTTGTTGTATGCGTTAAAGCTGCTTTCTGTTTGCTTTGGGAGAAGTGGAAATTTTGTACTTAAATTTAAATGAAACGACGTTGTGTCTTCACGGTTGTATTTTGGCGACTGATTGTAATGTATACAAACGGTGGCCGGCCGGCAGAAATACACATAACTATAACTGCGGTCCAATATAGACCAACCACATCTGTTACAGTATTTGTTATAAAAATCCACCGAAACGCCTTGTTCGATTTTTATTAAATTTTTGGCATTTATTTGATAAGGGTGGGTCTACCTAGAAATAAAGGTAAGTCAAAACTATTTGCCGGGTCAGCTAGTATTCTATATATTTTGAGCCAGCTATATATGTCAATGAAGTACATATATGGCTATTTTGAAGTACTATACAGTGCAGTCAGCAGCTTCCCTTGAGAACCAGCAAAACGCTCAACTTTTGCTCTTTTTAAATGCATATACATATAAATTTACCTATATATATAATACCGTCATCACCATAAGGGCACACGGGACTCGTGCCCAGGGCCCCATTCTTAGGGAACCCCTGAAGGACTGTAAATTTTTCCCACACATTTATTCTCAAAACATTTTTGTCGGGCACACTACACTTTTTACAAATCAGTAATGTTATTAGAAGGTACAAGGCATATACTGCGCCATTATATCGATTACTTCGACTATTCCTATATTCTTGTACCTATACCTAATGAGCTTCTTTTTATCTTAACAAAAGATTCCCGACTTCTTGGAAAGGAAAATTGTGCCCAAGGGCCCCAGGCTAGTTTAAGACGATGGTGTATATATAATAAAATAAGTAATTGTAAGAAATTATGAGTACATATACTTTTGCACTATAAAATATAATAAATGCCATTCTTGAATATGATACAATAAAACTGAAATAGTACAGAAATGTAAATGAACCAATGATTTACTCCAATGCACCACGCAATCATTTTTATTAGACTATAGTTTAATGACCAAAATGCCACTCAAAAAAAAACTAACATGTGGAATGTTGAGATATGCCTAGAAAATAACAGATCAAACACTGGGAGTGTGCTTACAGGAATAATCTCACATATTGTGATGACTCTTCACACTATATGTGCATTCCGTTTCCGTATGAACAGTAGAATAAAAAAAATGTCACTATTTAAAAGTGCTAATGTTACGTTTTTTTGAATAAAGATTATTTCTATTTCTAGATTTTATATGGAGGACATGGCTCATTCTTAACTAGTTCTATTTTCCTGTGTGAGCTTCTTATGTGTACCATCGAAAAGTCATATTAAAAAAAAATAGGTTTATAGGACAAAAATATTAAATAAATTGAGGATAAACACTTAAAATATTTAAGTGTTTATCCTATGTATATATCAAATAATAAATGAGTATTATATTAATAAATTGTGAAAATTATATAATGAAAATATATTTAATTTTTAAATATAGTATAAATCAAGGAATATAAGTGATCACTGTCGCAACATAAAATAAATGTTTTAAAAAATAGAAATAATTAATTCAATGTCATTACATACATAATATCTCTTCTAAAAATATACTATTATTAACCTATGTTATCCCACTGCTGGGCAAAGGATTCCCTCAATTCCCTCCCTTAAATACATATATATTTAAGGGATTCATTTAAAAGTCATATAATTAAACACAATTATAAATAAACCAATCTGTTTCACCTCAAAAGTTCATTTATCTTCTTGATTTTCGTGGCCAGTCTAGAAATTCTAGAATATTCATAACCAGCACCAACATTACACGATTGTAACAATGGCTGCATTATGTGAGAGCTGTTAGTCCACAAATGAACACAACTATGATCAGGAACGGTACCCATGACTTTAGGAATGCACCAAAACTAAAACAAATAAATTAGGGTTACAGCCACACCTAAAATGTCTGTGGGGTCCATGCACAGCTGCCGCTGATCATATTAATAAATATGAAGATATGAGTATTCAGAAATTAAATAACATTAAAACATTATTAGATTTTTATGACGAACTGACAAGAAACTCAGCTCATTTCATTTTCAAATGCTATACATGTTTATATTAATACAGATTCATTTTTAAAGTCAAATTTGGGAAAATTGAGTGATCTCCAGGAGAATAGATCAGTGTTTGTAACCTGAACAGACCACTCCCCCACAAGGAGCACCCTTTCATGAGTATGAGGACAGATGAGCCAACCATCTTTGCACTCAATCATGCTAGAGGGAGCATGGGAGGAGTTTCTTCTGTCAGCCCCTAGTAGTAGTGATGAATGTTGATTTATTTTATAAAATGCACTTCAGTATAACGATATGCATCAACAAATATAAGATACTTGTAATATAATATTATTATAATTATTAGTTTTAGAACTTAATAAAGATATATTAATCCAAAATCTTTATATATAAAAATTATGTGTCATGTTGTTTGTCCACAATGTCTCTTAAACTACTGATTGCAAAGTTTATTTGCACATTGTGTGCAGTTTGATCCAACTTGAAAGTTAGGATAGCTTACATATCAATTTATTGTTGTAATTTTATTTTATTTAAGAACCTTATCCACTTCAACGAGTGGCCAGATCTGCTAGTTTATAGCCTATACATTAGTAAGGATTACAGCCTTTTTATAATTAAAATAGCACTGTAAATTTGATCAATAATTATGTGTAACACTTACCTGACATATTTTGAATATGGTATCATGTAAAAGGCCAATTTGACCATATTCCAATTTTTATGTCCATTGTAATTCATTATATTTAGAGCTGTTGCGACATGGGAATGGCAGTTGTCATAAAATATTATGTGCTGAAACAACAGTTATAATTTTTATCCTGAAGCTTTTTATTAATGTAATTTCCACAATGATTTAATAAATAAATATATATATGTTATTTATGATTATCATATTATAAAGATTCACAGACAGTGCCTGAGAGCTGACTCATTGGACCAGCAGCATAATTTTAATGGAAAACAACCATTAAAATATAGAGTCAGATTGGACTATTGTTTAAAAATAAACAGATTGCATAAGCAGTATACAAAAGGCAACAAATATTATCACTATTGCATTATAAACTTTTTTTTTTCGGACTACTCTAATGCTGTTGGCTACAGCTGGCCTTTTCAGGACAATAGGAGAATAGAAAATGCTCAGACCGATACAAATAAGTCATACTCATAAATACAAAGGTTTGCACTGTGTGAGAAATTGAATGCTGTTGCCCACATTTGTCCTTTACAGCTTCACTGGGGCGATATATAGGGGGCGAGTGCAGAAGGCCAACTCCTGCCTGATAGATATGAGTTTAATCTGAGGGCACCACTAGAGGTTTGAAGCTCGGCTCAGGCAGTTCTAACATTAATCAGTTAGTTTGAATTGGATGGGAGATCGATCAAAGGGTGCATTATAAACATAGTAAATTATACATACCATTCTTTTTTTATATATTTCTGAAGCTTCAGCTACAGCAGCGTCCCATCCAGCTTGCCCATTGGCTGCTTTCTGTGGTGACAGCTGCCAGTATTTTGTGGGGTTTCCAAAAGCCATCAGATCCTCAGACACAAAGTATGGTCCCGCAAAGTCTCTTATAACGCCGGTCGACATGCAAATACCCATATGACCAAGGAATGGGAATATCCATCTGGATATTAAAGAATATTATTCAGAACTAATCTATTTCTAAAAGACAGTATATATAAAATAATAATTAGAAACGATTCTGCTTTTAATCAGACATCTTACTACGGGAACATCTTTTGACGTCCTTCGTTCTACAAAACGATATTTTATTTGTATATCGGTTTGTAGTTTGTTTCTCTCATAAGGAGGATTACAACATAATGTACACACAGATTATTTTATTAATGACCCAGGAATTTCTCTATGCGGCATGATTCAAATTTCATAAAATGTATAGAAAATGAAGAGTAAATGTAAAACTTACGTTAAAACAGGAATGGGTGTCCAGACAATACAGTAGGGATACCTAGATCGTTCGTGGTCGATAGGATCCATTAGTACGGCCTGCTCAGTATCGTTGATATCAATTGGGCTAACTGGACTATGATCACCGTTCATTATTAATCATGAAATGAGAATAATGGTATAACTTATTTATTTCATATTCCGATAAAGGAAAAATAAACAAAATATATGTCTGAACTTCTGAAGTATACAATTGACTGACGGTTCGATTTTGCTTTACAATAATAGATTGACACATTAGAATGACATATATAATCACATGGATAATAAAATTCAAGGGCCAAGGAACAGTTGATTTTGTTTTACAAATTCGAAAGTAATGAGTAATATATTTGTTTATTAAAATTATTATTATATACAAGTTACTTTAATTATTTAAAAATACCTTATATGTGAAAAATTCACATTTATACGTTTAGGGTCAAAATGTAAAACTACTCTGTGTAATGAAGCAAACATGACAGCTAACGGTCACAGAGCACTTAATTTAACCACCATTTTTGTTTGTTGTCACACGCAACGCAAGATATGTTTGGCGCTAATATTTATTATTATTTATTCTAGTTTGATTTACTAAGAAAAATTCTATGTGATCTACCAAAATGCCTGCGTTTCTAAAATATATTGATATGGAAAACTTCAAGTCCTATCGCGGTCATCACCGCATAGGTCCTCTGAAGTCCTTCACCGCTGTTGTCGGACCCAATGGTTCAGGTAAATGCTGTTATATTGTACTTATCTTCATGTAATTAACTTTCTAGTAAGTTCATTGTTATCGTTCATGACACTGAATAAATAATATTATATTCTTCTGCCAGGTAAATCAAATTTTATGGACGCAGTAAGTTTTGTTATGGGTGAAAAGACGTCTCTGCTACGTGTAAAGCGTCTTAGTGATCTGATTCATGGTGCGTCTATCAACAAGCCTGTTTCTAGAAGGTAATTATTGATATTTACTGATGTATTATAATATATGTGGTCCTGTAAGTATAATATATGTGGTCATAGTAGTCATAGTAGGTAGGTAGGTCATAGTAGGAGTGTATCAGATTGTTACTAATTAGGACTTTTCTCTCTATTGTTATCAGTGTACTCTGGTAGGTCATTTGCTACCCCTTAGTGCACCATTACAAAAATTAGAAATTAATATCTAAACCATATAATAATTTCTAGGATATTTCCTATAATAGGCCAAAGATCTGTGGCACCTGATCAATATATATACTCTGAATTGAGCTTATAATGTATTGTAATTTACTTGCATATTTTGTAGATTTCCTATAGGATATGAATTATAAATAAAGTTACTACAAATTTTAACAAATGTTAAATATTTTACTTTGCAGTGCTTCAGTGACTGCCACTTTTGTGCTGGAGGATATGACAGAGAAGCAGTTCCAAAGGTCTGTTAATGGACAATCATCGGAGCATAAAATTGATGGGCATGTAAGTAAAATATAATACCTAAAATAAAAAAGTAAAATTATTTATTTCATTATTTACAGTTCTAATATCACTTTTTTGAGTAATATTATGTTTATTAGAGAAGGAGCTAAATAGATATATTTTCTACTAACCTATTAGTTACAACTTTCAAGAAAATATCTATTTAGATAGACTTTTGTGGATGTTTCATACAAAATAAAATGTAAAATTATTTATTTCATTATTTATAGTTATATCATATCACTTTTCAGAGTAAAATTATGTTTAGAGAAAATATCTATTCAGCTACTGGCTCTAGAAATAATTATTAATATTCATAGATAGACGATTGGAGGATTAAAAAAAGATAGAAAAAAAAATATTCATGGTTATTAATAGAAAATTGTTTTTTTCAACTTTACAGTCGGTCTCCGTGTCTATCTACTTGGCGGAGCTGGAGAAGTTGGGCATTAATGTGAAGGCAAAGAACTTTCTGGTGTTCCAAGGAGCAGTTGAGAGTATTGCCATGAAGAATCCTAAAGAGAGGACTGCACTCTTTGAGGAGATCAGTGGGTGCGTTCATTTATGTCATATATTTATGTATTTCTAAGGTTTCTAAAGTTCTTGAATAAAATAATATCTATCCTATCGTTCAAGTTACATCAAATTGCATGTAATGTGCAAATCAAATTTGCAATTGATTCAGTAGGTTAGGAGACCATCACAGACAAACAAAGTGACACATAATTTTTATAGGTTTTGTAATCCTTTATATCATCTCATACTCTTAGGTCAAGTGTACTTAAGGAGCAATATGAGGCCTGTCGTGGTGAAGTGAACCGAGCAGACGAGGAGGCTCAGTTCTCATACCAGAAGAAGAAGGGTGTGGCTGCAGAGCGGAAGGAAGCCAAGTTTGAGAAAGAAGAAGCTGAGAAGTATACCAGACTGAAGGAGGAGCTGGTGAGATAATATTCTTTCATTGACCTTAGAGTTCAGATTTGCATTCTTTGCAACTATACTCCTCCGAAACAGCTTGACCAATCCTGACCAAGATGTCATTGAAGGTCGACATTCAGGCCTCTATATTTTTTTTTCTTTTTTTTTATTGGGTGGTTTGGACTATTATCAGATACCTGCACCTGTAGCACAAGGAAGATATTTCGTTCATGCATGAGTGGGCTACAACCACATGCAACCTACATAGATCTATTGTGCTCGCCCAAATGATAGTAAACATGACTAAAAAAAAAATTTGTGGTTTTAGGTCAATTTTTCAAGAATAAACGCTCTGCTCAACATGTGACCTGGTGTCACATGTTCCAAGAATTTTCATCATCAAATTCATCATAAAAAATTAGTATGAATTTCTTGCAGGTTGAACAAAAAGTGGAACTCCAGCTGTTCCACTTGTATCACAACGAGAAAGAAATTCAGAATAGTGAGGAGGAGGTGCAGCACAAGCAGTCGGAAATGGCTAAAGTGGAGAAGAAGAGGCAGAAGGCAGAGGATGCTCTGAAGGATAAGAAGAAAGAAGCTGGCACCATTCAGAGAGAGTTGGCCAAGATTGAGCAGGACATTAGAGAAGCAGTGAGTATAATTATACTGCATCTTCATTCACATAATCATGACTGAAATGAAAAATAGCTTATATACTTCGCCATTCTAATTTATAATGAGACTAGCCGTATCCTGCAACATTCCGCACTTGAATTTAGGTAAAAAGTATGTGTTATTGTATGTTACGATTTAACTGTCATCCCAAATTTAATTTGATTCAGTCTAATAGAATTTGCTTTAAAGAGTTATAAATATCCACATCGTATCAAATTTTGTGGTTAATAATATAAATAAGACTGTCAAAAACAATATGACTTTCTCATTCAGCTTATAAATTATGATATCTAAGTAAAGTAAATAATCTGAAAAGGTATGAAATAGGAAATCAATGGGATCTGAAGTAAGGGATATAAAACTTATTATAAAAAGTACAAATAAACTAATATATAAATAAAAAACCCTGAACAATTAATACAGCGCCATATAGTGGCACGGTAAGCAGAGCTTGTGTTATATTCTGTACTAGACAACTGATATAAATATTTATATATTTTTTTGTAAATACATACATAATATACATAGAAAACACCCAGACTGATACACACAATCATGCTCATACACACAATCATACAAATATTTGCACCGTGCGAGGAATCGAACCTGCGACCACCGGAAGTAAAGCGCTATATAAACATACGGCCATCTGCTTATACAAAAATAATTTACTATTGATTTTTAACAGGAAGCTGAGATCTCCAAGAAGCGACCAACATTCATCAAAGCCAAGGAACGAGTAACGCACTCACAGAAGAAACTCGAGAGTGCAGTCAAGACCCTGGAGCAGGCGCGAAAGGCTCACGAGGCTCACCAGGCGGACATCAAGAAGTTGGAGGATGAACTCCGCCAAGTTGAGGACCAGAAGGCTACCTGGGAGCAGTCCACTCTTGGCACTTCGCATACGGGACGTGCTGACGTGCATTTAGAGGAGGCTCAGGTGACGTTTTATCATCATTTACTATTGGTCGCACAGTCGAATTTCGACCATAATAAATTATACAATATCTTTTTTGAAGCAACAATAACAATTAAACAAAAGAATATATATATATGCATGTGTTTAATTAGTATAATTGAAAAAAATGTTACCATTCTGTTTCTTCTGTATAAACTATAAGTCATTTATGCATGGGATTTTCATTTAATGTTTATATGTGTACAATATGAATAAACTGGCTTTTAAAAGAAAATAAATTCACTTGAGTTTCTTTTTTGCCAGTTCTTCTGAATTCTTTATACACTGTTCAGTTTTGTATACTGAACTGGATGACAGAAAAAAAATATTAATACAAAAAATATAACGTTAAACAAGTGGCTAAAATGTCCTACCTGAATAAATTATTTTTATTTGATGACATATAATAATTGTCGTGTAATTATATGTACAGATCCGCGAGTACGAGGAGTTGAAGATGGAGGCGTCCCGGCAGGCGGCGCGTTACCTTCAGGAGCTAGACTCCGTGAACCGCGAGCAGAAGGCCGACCAGGACCGCCTCGACAACGAGCTAAGGCGCAAGGGCGAACTAGAAAACAAGCATCGGCAGAAGGTTTGGAATACTCTACATTTTTGTTTAAAATGTTAATTTGTTATGTCCCTTTTTTTTTCTTTTACCTATGACAGTACGGACCACCTCGTCATACGCGCGCACGTTCTCTTGTTTAAATGAAAATATTAATATCGTGAATTGAGAGGGAAGGGGATTGCTTGTAATGTGGTCTGTTGACCCTCTTGCTACCACTGTACCATGTCGGGTTGATCTCCACACGGTTCCCCCTAGAAACTGTCGCGATAAATTCCTGGTGAATATGTCAGGATGGGCTAAGTGACTTAACCCCACGCTCATCTTATCGTCCTTCACTGGTGCCCCGCCAGCGTAAACCGTTAGCACGGGCGGGTGCACCATTCCATTATCATACATAAAAAAAACTCGAGCAGTACCCGGGTGTAGGTTTAAGGCGCACCTTTCTTACGTACGTTAACAATCAACATCATCGATCGAGTTTCTCTCCCTGCCCACACAAATGTGGCAGGAACCTACTTGTACAGCTTTAGATACACGTTCTGGTATACAATTTACTGCAGTATTTATCTGGCTAAGATGTTTTAGAAGATTGTAGAGATTTCGCTGGTATACCTCTCGCTGGCACTTCGACCGCATATAAATTAACCACATAACAATTTTCAGTTAATTTGAAACAATGTAAATTGCATAGGCTGACATACAAGATGTAAAGCTTAATAGTAACTTAAAAAGTTAATTTTGTTACGTCAAGCTATCAGTACACCGTTTGCATTATGCAATAGGTCAACTGAAGTCTTTATGGTCATGAAGTCATTATTGTAATTTTATTTATTTTTATTTATTTATTATCGGAAAACCAAGGCTATTGACAAACATAGTTATAAACATAATTAAATGAGAACGGCCACTTATAGGTTTTCACGGATAGAAATGTAATATAAAATAAATTACAGTAATAACACGAGAGGCGTGTTTGTGTCATAAATACTCATAAAATCATATATCAAACAATAACAATCCACTAAACACGGATTGGTATGCGAATTAAACCACCGGGAAATAAACCACGATGGTTTCCAGCGGGACCGCGTGAAGTTACTAAAGGATATTCTAGAATTGCTTTTTAATATAACAAAAAAAAAACTCACAGGTACAGGCAGTGAAAAAAAAAATTGACATGTGTATGGAAAAATATTGGAATAAAACATTAGGACTTTTGAGTTTGAATAAATTTAAAACTTCTATTAAAACACACACAAGTAAAATCGGTTACATGGTCCACACTATTTTGTATTACAACACGCAGAATCAGTTATTCCTTCACTCTATTTTGTGTATCTTTGTATTAAATAAAATTGATCTAAAAATATATAAAAACTTACGATATCGATGTTTATCGGCTCTACTGACGTGAAGTATGTAAATTGGAAGACTATTTTTTTTATTTCTATTGTTGGTAAGTACACTGACATATATGTGTAACATTACCACACTTCTGATTTGAGGTGGGACAGTCTCAGTCATTAGGATATGGTGTCCAACAGTGGAAAAATAAATTAAGTTGCCTTTACTTCTTTGCAGTGGGTATTTTTTACTTATTATCATTACATAGTATAAAACAAAGTCGCTGTCACTGTCTGTCCGTCCCTATGTATGCTTAAATATTTAAAACTACGCAACTTATTTTTAAGCGGTTTCTTTTAATAGATAGAGTGATTCAAGAGAAAGGTTTATATGTATAATACATGTACACCCGTGCGAAGCCGGGGTTGGTAGCTAGTATGTTATAAACATAAACAATTCTTCTATAAATATAAATTTAATAAAAGTATTTTATTCGCTATATAGTATAAAACAAAGTCGCTGTCGCTGTTGCTGTCTGTCCGGCCCTATGTATGCTTAAATCTTTAAAACTACGCACGGATTTTGATGAGGTTTTTTTAATAGATAGAGTGATTCAAGAGAAAGGTTTATATGTATAATACATGTACACCCGTGCGAAGCCGGAGTTGGTAGCTAGTATGATATAAACATAAATAATTCGTCTATAAATATAAATATTATAATAGTATAAAACAAAGTAGCTGTCGCTGTTAGTCCGTCCCTATGTATTTTAAATTACGCACAAAATTTGGAACGGTTTTTTTAAATAGATAGAGTGATTCAAGGTTTATATGTGTAATACATGTACACCTGTGCAAAGCCGGGGTGGGAAGCTAGTCGCGTATAAGTATAACCATATATTTTTCTGTATGTTTGTCGTATCCATTATAAGTCGTAGTCTTCTTTCAAATACAAATAAAACTGGTCACATTAAACCCTGAAAAGTTGTTTAGGAAATTGTAACAGCGAAAAAGTACTAATGGTTATGCATAATACATTATGTATGACCACAGCCGCGCCGTGAACCCACAATGGTAATGATTGGTTTAATTAGAAAATATATTTGTTTACATAATATGTCATTTGAAATGTAGATTTAGGGTTGGAAATAAAATCAGGAAATTGCGAATCGGACTTGGCTAACTAGGAATCCAATTAAAATGTAATAAATCTGTTTTTGTTTTAAATAATAAGAGTGCTGGCCCATAAAGGCGACGGATGAGAGAAGACTGCATGCAACTGAAATGCGAATGTTGAGGTGTATGTGTGGTGTGACAAGGATAAAAGAGAGAAAGAGAGGTAAAGCATGAATACATCAGAGCAAGTATGAAAGTGGCACCGATGTCGGAGAGGTTAAAGAGTAATCGTTTATCATGGTCAAACTATATAGAAACAATGAATAAATGTAATGCATAGGATATGCAAAGATCAAAGAAAAAATCATGTCCTATAATAAGGACGGATCTTAAATTATTATGTATGAATGTGGATGGTTATAAAAGGTGACGATTTTTGATGTTTTTTTTTTTTGTTATTAATGGTAAAAGACCATGTAAATTTATTAAAAGAGATGGATGGACTGTGTGAGAGATGATATAATGAGAAAGGGATGAATGGAAGAGAAAAACATATTACGTCGACCCCAAATAAATGGGATAAGGAAGAAGCAGATGATGAATAACCAAGGACAATTCCAACAGAACCATCTATTCCCTCAAGATTCCAAATAAAAGAGATCTTTTTTTTTTAAATAATAGTAATAATATCCTAGGACAATTCAAACAGGGCTATCTAGTTCCAAGCTGAGTAGAGTTTGTATTATGGGTACTAGACAACTGATATAAAGATTTTTTTTTTGTAAATACACACTTAATATACATGGAAAACCCTGAGATTAATAAAAGCAGTCATACTCATAAAAACAAATGTTTGCACCATATGAAGAATCGAATCCAAGACTATCATGGCTTATTGGGAACGCGTACATTCAACAAGGAGTCGTAACATGAACTGCCTTTCCTTTGAAGTTATATGACGACATGACCAAATGGAAGGGTGCCGAGTGCTGACAGAAATATTAAGAGTACGCACATTATTTTCATTGAAAGCAATGTTTAATATCAAATGATGTTTCTATCATCAGGGTCACGAGAGAAATGAAGCTATGAAGCGTGTCGAGAAACTGAACGAACACATCAAAGGTTCGGAGCAGGCGCTGGAAGAGCAGAGGAGGCTGCGTGCAGAGTTACAGGTAACGTTTAAACAGATTTGGTCTATCAGTTGTTTTTATTTACTGCTGTTGAAACTATCTAAAGTAAATCCGCCATTTTCCAATGATAATTAATTATTACATAAGCACTAAAGCATGCAGATATATTCGTTACCGCTTGTAAGCTCGTTCGCTTCTTGTAAAATGAGCAATTTACATGCTTATTCTTTCTTGCGTGAAAGCTGATTCGCGCGTGAAAGAGCGTACGTGTAAAGGACGCTCTTACGAAAACGAATTGAGACATTTTAAGGTTTTCTTTTGTCTCTATTTACTGAATGCACTCTGTGTCGTATACCCGTTCGCCGCACTGAGCCACTGAGCCACTGAGCCACGTGTCCGCACACCCGCAGGCGGACGTGGGCGAGTGCCGCGGGCGCGCCGCCGAGCTGCAGGCGCAGCTGGAGGAGGTGGCGTCGCAGCTGGGGGACGCGCGCGTCGACAAGCACGAGGAGGCGCGCCGCAGGAAGAAGCAGGAGATCGTCGAGAGCTTCAAGCGGGACATCCCCGGCGTGGTGCGTGCTCTCATACTCTATTGCTCCCGTCTACTACCTACGCGCCGCCGAGCTGCAGGCGCAGCTGGAGGAGGTGGCGTCGCAGCTGGGGGACGCGCGCGTCGACAAGCACGAGGAGGCGCGCCGCAGGAAGAAGCAGGAGATCGTCGAGAGCTTCAAGCGGGACATCCCCGGCGTGGTGCGTGCTCTCATACTCTATTGCTCCCGTCTACTACCTACGCGCCGCCGAGCTGCAGGCGCAGCTGGAGGAGGTGGCGTCGCAGCTGGGGGACGCGCGCGTCGACAAGCACGAGGAGGCGCGCCGCAGGAAGAAGCAGGAGATCGTCGAGAGCTTCAAGCGGGACATCCCCGGCGTGGTGCGTGCTCTCATACTCTATTGCTCCCGTCTACTACCTACGCGCCGCCGAGCTGCAGGCGCAGCTGGAGGAGGTGGCGTCGCAGCTGGGGGACGCGCGCGTCGACAAGCACGAGGAGGCGCGCCGCAGGAAGAAGCAGGAGATCGTCGAGAGCTTCAAGCGGGACATCCCCGGCGTGGTGCGTGCTCTCATACTCTATTGCTCCCGTCTACTACCTACGCGCCGCCGAGCTGCAGGCGCAGCTGGAGGAGGTGGCGTCGCAGCTGGGGGACGCGCGCGTCGACAAGCACGAGGAGGCGCGCCGCAGGAAGAAGCAGGAGATCGTCGAGAGCTTCAAGCGGGACATCCCCGGCGTGGTGCGTGCTCTCATACTCTATTGCTCCCGTCTACTACCTACGCGCCGCCGAGCTGCAGGCGCAGCTGGAGGAGGTGGCGTCGCAGCTGGGGGACGCGCGCGTCGACAAGCACGAGGAGGCGCGCCGCAGGAAGAAGCAGGAGATCGTCGAGAGCTTCAAGCGGGACATCCCCGGCGTGGTGCGTGCTCTCATACTCTATTGCTCCCGTCTACTACCTACGCGCCGCCGAGCTGCAGGCGCAGCTGGAGGAGGTGGCGTCGCAGCTGGGGGACGCGCGCGTCGACAAGCACGAGGAGGCGCGCCGCAGGAAGAAGCAGGAGATCGTCGAGAGCTTCAAGCGGGACATCCCCGGCGTGGTGCGTGCTCTCATACTCTATTGCTCCCGTCTACTACCTACGCGCCGCCGAGCTGCAGGCGCAGCTGGAGGAGGTGGCGTCGCAGCTGGGGGACGCGCGCGTCGACAAGCACGAGGAGGCGCGCCGCAGGAAGAAGCAGGAGATCGTCGAGAGCTTCAAGCGGGACATCCCCGGCGTGGTGCGTGCTCTCATACTCTATTGCTCCCGTCTACTACCTACACTACTAGGGCGTGGAGTAGTGGTGTAGCGGTGCAGCACGCCTCACATTCGCTGTTTGTGGATTCGAGGTTCGCACGGAGCAAATATGTTGAAAAATTCTTCGTGAATTTGTCACAATGGGCTAACTGATCTGACCTCATATTATCATCCTCTACTGGTGCCCCGCTAACGTAAATCATTAGCTCAGGTGTATACACCCATAAAAATCTCTATAAGTGGCAACTTATTTATTTTTATACTGATGCATGTAAATAGTTTTGTTTATCCAAATATAAATAAGTAAATAGAAAAAAATCTTCTATATTTCGGCAGTATGACCGCATGATCAACATGTGTCAGCCAACTCACAAGCGGTACAACGTGGCCATCACCAAGGTGCTCGGCAAGTACATGGAGGCGATCGTGGTGGACACGGAGAAGACAGCGCGCCGCTGCATACAGGTGCTCAAGGAGAGGATGCTGGAGCCGGAGACCTTCCTCCCGCTCGACTATATACAGGCCAAGCCGCTCAGGGAGAGGCTCAGGTCAGTACTACTTGTACAAAAAAAATATGTACCACTCACAACCACATTTCCTTTCAGCAATGTTATTTCCGAACCGATATGATATTGAAATCTTTCAAGAAAAGAACTTATTCATTCTTAAAAGGCCGGCAACACACTTGCAATTCTAGTGTTGTGTGTGCTCATGGGCGGCGGTAATCACTTACCATCGCGGTGTCACTTACCATCAGGTAAGTCGCAAACTCTTTTGTTGTTTGTGCTGTAAAAAAATAGTCAATGTTTTAAATTAGGGGATAGGAGGGTCATCAAAAAAAGGATGCCTCCTATTTTCATTCATCAAAACTATCACTGTCAGCTGATTAGGACTGTCTTTTGTTGTTATTGTATTGTAGCGCGGTGGTTATCACCTCATCACTGTAGTGTTATGTATGATCTGATGAGGTGTCGCTACATAATATACTGTTTATTATAGCATGTAGGTACAATTATTTCACCTGTATACTCTATATAGGTGAAATAATTGTATTATTTATTGTATATTAGTAAGTTTATTGCATAGTGTGCTACATGGCTTGCTAGTAACGTAGCCGGGACGTAGACTGGCTTTACATTTTACTTAAATCTATGTTAGTGGAAGGGTATCAAATGTTGACAGAAATATTACAAGTGTAAGTAAGGAAGGTACAGTATTGTTATGTAACAATTTTGAACCCATTTTTCTCGAAAAAAAAAATACAATGTTTAGGTACTTTTATATACTTGCGACTTAGTGCTATCCGACTAACCGTGTATCTGTGTGGTTTGCAGGGACATCCGGGAGCCGAAGAACGTGAAACTGCTGTTCGACGTGCTGCGGTTCGAGCCGGCGGCCATCCACCGCGCCGTGCTGTTCGTCACCAACAACGCGCTCGTCTGCGAGACGCCCGAGGACGCCTCGAGAGTCGCCTACGACCTCGACCGCACCAAGAACAGCAGATACGACGTACGTACACACTGCTCCTCACCAACTACAGGCCAAGAAAAACTGCAGGCGTCTGAGAAATTAAATAAAATTAAATTTATTTATTTCTTATAAAAGTAGTACATAATAGATGGTATGGTTGTTTATGTTATATAGATCTCACTTTTAGTCTTTACAGACATGCAAATACATATATCAATTAATCTATTATTATTCTTTATACAATTCAATTAAAATTACATCTTATACATTTATTATTATTATAGAAAGTAATAAAATTATTTTTATAAAACTGTTATATATTCATTACGAATGTTAAAATTATGTCAAGTTCGTATTGTCAATATATTATGTTTTCTAATAATTATAGTTCAATAGCAGAATTGAGAGATGAAAATAATCTACAGGTTATCTCACCTATGTTAATAATAATGATAATCTCATGATAATTCACACAGCGCCATCTAGACCCAAGTTAAGCTAGCTAGACCTTGTGTTATGGTCACTAGATAACGGATACAAATACATAGATATATATATTTTTTTCGTAAATACGTACAATATAGAAATATGGTAAATACCCAAACCGATACAAACAATCATACTCATGAATACAAATGTTTGTGCCGTGCGAGGAATCGAATCCGCGACCATCGGAAGTAAGGCGGTGGGTTAAACCGCTAGACCACCGAGGCCGTCAAGAAGACAAAGTCTGATCCGATATGATAGCAAATATAAAAAAAAAATTATATTTGTCTATGAAAATATACATGACATTTCTACATATTAACTTGTGTTTTTTATTCCTCAGGCATTAGCTCTGGACGGCACGTTCTACCAGAAGTCAGGAATCATATCCGGCGGGTCGCTGGATCTAGCGCGGAAAGCTAAGCGATGGGACGAGAAGCATCTCTCACAACTCAAGTCTAGGAAGGTGGAAACTTTTTATTAATACTTGTTTACTTAGCGCCGCAACATATTATCTAAATATATATAACTCAAAGGTGACTGACGTAGTGATCTATCAACGCACAGCCCAAACCACTGGACGGATCGAGCTGAAATTTGGCATGCAGGTAGATGTTATGACGTAGGCATCCGCCAAGAAAGGATTTTGATTAATTCTACCCCCAAAGGGATAAAATAGGGGATGAAAGTTTGTACAAAACTTTGTCACTTTTAAACCAATCGGGCTGAGACTTTGCATGCATAAAGCTACTATGACGTAGGCATCCCCTAAGAAAGGATTTTAATAAATTCCACCCCTAAGGGGATAAATTAACCCGAGCGAAGCTGCGGGCAAAAGCTAGTTAATATTATAAACGCGAAAGTTTGTGAGTATGGATGGATAGATGCATGGATGGATGGATGTTTGTTACTCTTTTACTTAAATACTACTGAACGGATTGTTATGAAACTTTACAGTAATATAGTTTATACATCAGAATAACACATAGGCTATAAATTTCATATAGGTGAAACCGCGTTCACAGCTAGTTTATAATAACACAGACTTACTTTAACCACAAAAGTGCAGACAAATTGCCGGTAAAAGCTAATCTTCATGTATTTCTACAACATTATATGGCAATAAAGCGAATATCAGCTAGTAATGATATATTTACAAGACCTGAGCACGAACAAACAGACAGAGAAAATTTTAAATTAATTTATAATTACACATATAATTGACTAAATATATATTATTACTAAAACAGTATTTACAAGTCCTGATCAGTTATTAGAAAAGAACAAACACACAGAAAATTTATTTCAAATTAATTTTTCATGAGTAAATATATGCGTTTAGTGAAATACTGTTGATTTGATTTACAAACAGACATTTCATTTATTTCTATATATTTTTTTTTATTTTATAGGAAAAATTAACAGAGGAACTACGCGAGTCCATGAAGAAGTCCCGTAAAGAGTCCGAACTGACGACCGTGGACTCGCAGATCCGGGGGCTGGAGTCTCGCCTCAAGTACGCCATCACCGACAGGGACACTACGGTGAGTAATAACACGGCCACACAGACATATAGTACTAAGTAATATATATAGGGTGTCTCAGAACTCAACCTCAAGCCGAAACAGGGTGACTATGAGAAAAATCAGAAAAAAATCTATACCATGCAGTTTGAAAATTATGGGCATTTAAGAAAAATCTATAAATTTGGTCAAATTGTAACCATTTTCGGTAATTTATTGTTTTTTTCATTTAAACTTTGGTACAGTAACCCTAAATAACATTTCTAGAGCCACAGTCAAAAATAATGACATAATTGCCCCAAGTTTTCTAGAATTAAGACTATTTGTTAAACTATGAATTTAAAATTTTCAAAATAAGTCGAATTTGAAAAAATGTACTAAAGTGCCTTGGCAGGTATCATAAAACACGCGTGCGTTATAAAAGCAAATTGTATAAATAATTTCACTGAAAACCGAAAATTAAATACCATTTGGTATTTTTAAAGATTTTTCTATATCAATTTTTTATTTTAACTTAATGTTGAAGCAATTAGTTAATAATTTACGTTTTTAGTAAAATTTAGCACGAAAATCTAACATTTCATTTTAATGGCCCGGAGAGGAAAAGTTAATATTTTGTCAAATCCTTTCGAAATCCCCAACATCTATCAAATTGCCCCCCTGTGGGCCGTGGGCGCGGTTCCCGTTTGGACACAATGTAATATATATAATATAAATTCACATATTCATTAGGATTTACATTATTTTGTTAAATTCCTCTCATTCATGTGTGAGACACAAATAAACAGTGCTTAACTTGATCAACTCGGAAACTTGACTACCGTTACGACCTTCTCCAGTGGCGATCAAATTCCGACCGTTATTGACTCTCCACCTATATCGCGACACGTGTTTCGCCTCTGAACGAGGCATCATCAGGCGTTGTATAGAAATGACCTGAATTAAATGTATATTGTTGTTCACCATGCAAACTAGATGTCGCTGCAATCGAATTGAAACGCGCTATAATTTGTCATTCGTGACCGGGGTATATTGATGGATATTTCCATAAAGGACATGTGAGTGGCCGCTACTAAATGTCTCCGTATGCTACGAACATAGCATACAGAGACAAACTACAAATATTGAGACATTAAAATAAAACTCATATAATGAATCCCCGTACAATTTAATTTTATAGTTCAAAACATATATAAGATAGTAAGATAGAATCCAAGAACTAGAGACCAGCGGAAGAGATGGTACAAGAGCTGATTTAAATTCGTCATACATTTGATTTTATAACAAGGTAATAGCATATTTTACCTCCAGACATTAATGATATCTCAAATAAATCGGTATATTTACAAATTTCAAGAAATTGGCCTTAAATTTAATATAACAGTACAATATTCAATTTAATATTGCGACTTTTTATAACATGGACGAGAGTCTTTCCGCGCGCGTGTTATTTTTTTTGTGAATGACAAGAGGAATAAGGTCCTATAAATTAATAGTTCAAATTTTGAATAAGTTTAATGTCACTTAATATCATCATCATCATCATCAGCCTGGAAAAAATGCTGGGCAATTTTATCCTCATTTTAAAATAAAAAAAAAACTAATTACTTTTGACAAGCAATTATCTTTTAATTTTGCATTTTCTGATAATTATATTTTTATGTTATTTGATTTGATTATATTTTGTTGCTAATTCAATAATTTTAAAGCACCAGCTGTGCTCGGTATACATTTTAAAGTATTTTTTATTGATTTGTTTTGATATAACACAGAGTGATCTTATATATGTTTACTATTAGAAAAAATTGATGTGTATTTTATCATGTGGATTTGATTTTTGATGCAAGTCATCAGTCTAATGAGAAACCTAAGAAGAATATTATTATCACTTACATGTTTCATTTTAAAAGTGTTTTATTATTATTAAAAATTAAAGATCGAAAAAAAAAAAAATTGTAAGCTGTAGATTTTTGATAAATACATTTGCATTTTTGAGCATGAAGTTTGGTTTGTCCTTAATGTGTCTAGCATTAGTGTGTTTTAACTTACAAATTTAGAGTTGATGAAACAAATCATACATTTGACATATTCGCATATGCATTTGCATTTGGCATATTTTAACAATACATTCTCAGAGGTTACAATCTATATTTTAAAAAATATTAGTTATGATGCATATTATCGGTATATTTACAATATTTTTAATACACACCTATCTGCGTTCCGAAATGCGACTAAATTTAATATAATAACAGTCACAAAATATTATTATTGCTATTGAGTAATTATTGTGACTTTTTACTGCATTTCGGAACGCAGTCAGTACCAGCGCGCGTGTTTTTTTTTGACACTTACGATAATAAAGTGAAAGAGAGAGAAGAACGTCGCACTCGCCTACTACAAAGTTGTTCCACCTATTAGGCATATAAATTGTTACATGTTCAAATTTTAAATAATTTTAATGTCATATAATGTTACTGTACTTATTATCGCCTATCAAAAAATAAATTACTAATTTTATCCTCATTTTAAAATAAAAAAAAAATCTATTTTTTTTGAGATTCATAAAATTTATCTTTTAATTTTGCATATTCTGACAATTTTCGTGCATATTTCAAGCATTTTTCATGCATATTTGCATGCATATAACAAGCTTTTTATGTTGCATATAATTCGGTCTTACATATCCGGTTATTACATTCAACTAGTTCTCTAAAGGACGGCGAACGCTCTAGCGGTTTAGCACACCGCTTTACGATGGTTGCGAGTTCGATTCCCCGCACGGCAAACATTTGTATTCATGAGTATGATTGTTTGTATCGGTCTGGGTGTTTTCTATGTATAATATGTATGTATTTACGAAAAAATCTATGTATTTGTATCATGTATATCTATGTATGTTTAGTACCCATAACACAAGCTCTAGCTAGCTTAACTTGGGTCTAGATGAGAATTTTCCTGAGATTATTATTATCCCTATTGTTTCATTTTATCAGCTTTAGTTAGTGTTTTATTATTATTAAAAATCGAAGAACGAAAAAAAGAGCAACATAATAAACATGTGAAAAGCGAGTACAATAGATCTATGTAGGTCACAGTGCTACAGGTCCATGCACCTGATAATAGCTCAAGGAAGCCAATAAAAAAAGCGGGGCGGATTACTAGTCGTGTGTTTTAACTATATTCAAATTTATTGTTGCAGTTGAAACAAATCAAACAATTGGACGCTGAGCTCGCCGAGCTGGAGAGAAAAATGGATTTGTTTGGCGTAAGTTGTTTTAACAATACAGTGGACCCGACCGCGCTACAATCTAATCTTCAAAAAAATGTTGATGGAACTTATCAAGAATGAGTTTCAGACTGTGTTTTTTATGGATTAATGGAATGGTACACCTATCTGCGTTAACGGTATACGGTAGCGAGACCCCAGTGGAGGATGATAAGATAATAATGATGATGAGCTATTTATCACCATGGTTTCCAGGGGGAATCGCGTGAAGACGTAGTACGTTGAATAAAGAACGGATATTATTTTTTAATTACAGTGGACCGCGGTAATCCGGCCCCCCATGTAATCTGACATGGTCTATTATTTATTATTGAATATTTTTTTGACAATCTTCGCTAATGCATGACTGAACAAGTTTGAACTTGTACGCATCACCACTATTGTACACGACGCGTAGGGTATTGTTTTGATTATGATTGCTTAGCTTGAATTTTACTACTCACATGTTATGAAGATAGCATGTGCTCATTGTACTTCAGAAAGCATATATTATTAAAATCACTAGTATCCTGATGACTTAGACGTAATGCCGGTTGGTCAGGGAGAGAAACACCTCAATGCCTACAATATTCACAATTACCTATCTCTTATTTGTTTTTATAATAATATAAACTCAACGTTTTCGCTCCAAAACTCCCGCTGCCTACGTTCAATCATTCATCAATCTATCTGTCAATGTCACATAGATTACTTTGGCTCTGGCCTCTGACGTTCCGTTTCAGGTTACATGATTATTGACTTTACCATTTTTAATTAATGGTGCGTCACACGATAGTTAACAATATATACATACATATATAATATATAGAATCTTATCACTGTTTCTTTAGTTTGTCGGATTACAAGGTACTTTTTTGTAAAAAAAATCCTGTCTATAGGGGACCCTTAGGCAGTACTCTATAATCTGACAAATTTGATGGTTCGACATTGCCCTGCAAAACATTTGTTGGATAACCGGGGGTCCACTGTACTTATAATATCTATATATGTTCATGACGAGTCCTTGAGAGGGTAGCCAGTGAGAATTGAGTGCCAAAATTATTGCATTAGTTTAAAAAAGAAATATACATGTTTCAAGCAAATCACTTCTTTCTCGATAATTGAAACGCGATGTATTCCAGTGGTGACCGCGTGGAGTGCAACCTATGTATCATTATTGAGAATTAGCTGTTCCCCGCGACATCGAATGGCATTTAGTCTTTTTTTTATTAAAGTAAATAAATATTAGTCTCCCTCGTTGCGAGATGTTTCCTATGATTAGTTCAAATGCTGAAAATATTGTTTCATCCATCATAATTTACCACTGTACCATTTTACTTACTAAGAGATTGTAATTTGTTAATAAATACATAACATCTTGAGTATTATGACGTCATTTTTATAAATGACCGAATATTAAAAAAATAGGCCGAATAGGCCGAATACCGAATAGTAGCCGAATATTCTGGACATATCTATGTAATCTGTTATTAGCCTCAAATTGAAGAGATTGAGCGCACGATCCGCACGCGCGACGCCAAGATACAGGAGATCAAGGAGAACATGAACAACGTCGAGGATGTGGTGTTCCGCGGGTTCTGTCGCGACATCGGTGTTGCCAACATACGGTAATGTCACTTTTTATGTCAAACTAGATGATGGCCCACCGGAAGGAAAGTGGCAACCAAAGACAAAATGTTTTTATATGTATAAATTATATAGGCGACCTATATAATTTATACATATAAAAATTTTTTTTGTAAATCTATACATATAAATAAAATTGGAGTGTCTGTTTGAAATATTGAAATAGCCGTTTTTTACTATATGCATATGAATATAAATACGGTACATACACCAAAATAAAATATATTACAATTTTTGTCTGTCAGTCTGTTTGTTCCGGCTAATCTCTGAAATGGCTGGACCGATTTTGACGGGACTTTTAATAATTAATGAATCTCAACGAGGTGCGTGGATGTATTCGTTGTAATTAATTATAAAACACCAAATTGTAAATTAAATCGTAATTATATATATTTATTAAAATGTCGATATAATTATAATAGCGGTGTAACAATATATTGAAGCACATTAATAACAAATGACAATTGTAATTATTAGAACACAGCGTTCTATATTAAAATATTACGAAGTAAATAATTAAGAAGGTTTTAATAACTATTTTTGTTGGAGTTTCCAACAACTTAGGCTACTTTTATTTTAGACAATGAAAGTTAAATTCCACGCGGATGAAGTCGCGAGTAACAGCTAGAACATACATAATATATACCGATATAAACTATCATACTCATGAATACAAATGTTTGTACGAGGAATAGAACCCGCGGCCACCGGAAATAAGATGGTGTGCTAAACTGCTACACCATTGAAGTCATACGTTGTGTATATGGAGGAGGTGTGGTTGATATATTTTTTTTTACTGTGTTGTATGCTTGTATTGAGGCATATATCCGGCAGTGGACTGTAGTGGTCTGATGATGACGATGATGATGCTTGATAGATTAAAAAAAATAACTCACTATTAAAAAATTCTTAACCCTTTTAGTGCCATACATATTTTACCAATATATAGTAAAAAAGTGCATTTTTATAGATAATTAGCCGTTCTCGCGACTTCGTCAGCGTGGATATTTTTTTCTAAAATGAAAGAAATTTTTTAAAATAAAATTAGCCTAAGTTACTCCTTATTATATAAGCTACCTGCCAAAAAAGTCCCGTCAAAATCGGTTCAGCCATTTCAGCGATTAGCCGGAACAAACAGACCGACAGACAGACAGAAAAAAATTGTAAAATTTTGGTGTGTGTACCGTATTTACATTCATATGCATGTAGTAAAAAACTGTTATTTCAATATTACAAACAGACACTCCAATTTTATATAGGATATAAATAGTTAAAAGTTAAAACCATTTAAAACCCTTAGTTAAAAATATTTAACAAAGGGTTAAATTAAGTTTATTTGAATAAAAGATATTCTATTCAATTCTGTGCTTGTATAGTTGTATATGAGTGTGGTGTGTAACATTGAGTGTGGTATCGGTTGAGCGTAGGCAGTACGAGGAGCGTGAGCTGCGCGCGCAGCAGGAGCGCGCCAAGCGGAGACTGGAGTTCGAGGCGCAGGTCGACCGCATCGCATCCAACCTCGAGTTCGAGCGCTCCAGGGACACGCAGAGTTAGTACCCCTCCGATACTATACGAAACTGAATTTCATAGTTGTGAGAATAGAACCCAACGAATAAGTGAAATTCGGTTCTTATGAAAACATATATATATATATATATATATATATATATATATAAAAAACATTTTATTTCTCCATGAAATGTTTGTCTAACCAAAGAAAATATAATACGGAGTTAGCAATACTTGAGGGTTAGCAATATAGAGTCTACAAAGCGTAGATATAGAATATCTTTTGTTATTTCAGAAAATACAATATTGATATCTGCTATTACGACGACTTCATTCAAAATAATACAGTCGTGTAACGAGTTGATAACAGTTATATACAATGCGAGTATATATAGGTATTGATATTATAAAGAATTTATATATATTTAATAATATAATAATCTCAGTACAATTCACACAGCGCCATCTAGACGCAAGTTAAGCTAGCTAAAGCTTATGTTATTGGTACTAGATAACTGATACAAATATATAGATATATTTTTTGGTAAATACATATATATTATACATAAAAAATACCCAAACCTGTATCGGTTCAATCAACAATCATACTCATGAATACAATGTTTGTGCTAAGGAGGAATCGAACCCGCGACCATCGGAAGTAAAATGCAAAACCACTAGACTATTGAGGCCGTCGAATATTCAATGTTTACAACATTCCCACGATGTTTGCTCGCGGCGCTCGCGTTAATTTATCCCCTTAGGGGTGGAATTTATCAAAATCCTTTCTTAGGGGTAACCTACGTTATAGTAGCTTTATGCATGCAAAGTCTCAGCCCGATCAGTTTAAAATCGACAAAGTTTCATACAAACTTTCGTCCCCTATTTTATTCCCTTGGGGGTAGAATTAATCAAAATCCTTTCTTACCGGATGCCTACGTCATAACATCTACCTGCATGCCAAATTTCAGCCCGATCCGTCCAGTGGTTTGGCTGTGCGTTGATAGATCACTACGTCAGTCACCTTTGAGTTATATATATTTAGATATATATGTACAACCGAGCAAAGCCGGGGTGGGTAGCTAGTCATGTATAAATAAGAAAAAGGATATGTTGATATACTTCCTTTCCTATACGCAACTCTATAAACAGCCCGATCCATCCAGTGGTTTAGGCTGTGCGTTGATAGATCACTATGTCAGTCAGTCAGTCACCTTTGAGTTATATATATTTAGATTTAAAGCGTTATCACTTCACCACTGTAGTGTTATATATGATGTGATGAGGTGATAATTATTATTTATCGTACAAGCTATTCGTCTATGGAAGTCCTTTCCATTTCCCATTCGATATATTTTATAGACGCGCGGAGCACAACCTGCCATGGTAAATTGCTAGCTATGGGGCATTAGTCAACATTATTAACACTCCCTTTTACCCAATTCCATGGGATTGAACGGGCCATGTTAATGTGTTGAAGCTATAGTTGATGGAAATGGTCATATTAGTCTCTCGGAGACGTAGGTGATTTTCATTTTTATTTATTTATTTATTTGAGCGACCAACAAGACACCATGTGGGTACAATTATTATAACATGCAAAGAGTTTAAGTATATAGTCTTTTTTTTTTCGGACTACTCTAATGCTTTACAGCTTCACCGGACGATAGGGGGCGAGTGCAGATGGCACTCCAAACCCGCGGAAGGACTTATGGAGCGGCTGAAGGCCAACTCCTGCCTGACGGATACGACTTTAGTCTGAGGGCACCACTAGGGGTTCGAACCTCGGCTCAGGCCGTCGTAATTTCGATCCTCGTTTGAATTGGACGGGGGATCGATCGGAGGTTGAGTGTTGACTTAATTACTGGTTGCCACGGCATGCGATATTGTTTACAGAAGTTTATATATATATATGTATACATATTTATCTTTTTATTTTATTTATTCTAGTTTATTATATTATATTATTTATATGTTGATATATATTATTGATAAAGAATATACAGGATATTGGTAGCGATTGTTTTTGGTGTTGCTGTCGTGCGGGACGTGACCATATCGCGTGGTTGCAGAGAACGTGACGCGGTGGGAGCGCAGCGTGCAGGACGTGGAGGACGAGCTGGAGGCGGCGCGGCAGGCAGAGGCCAAGCAGCGGCAGGACATCGACAGGGAGCTGCGCCAGGCAGACACGCTCAAGGCAGAGCGGACCGCCGCACGCGCACGACACGACCTCGCAGAGCAGGACCTCACCAAGGTACCAACGAGTCAGGGCACACCACCACTAGCAGCGAGCAAAGACGTCGCGATAAACGTAAATAGTAAAGCGGTATTGAACTGCTAGACCACCGAGGTATATATACATATATATATATATACACACATGTCATATATACATATACATTCTATCTTCATATCAAATTTCTTGTCAGTTCTTCTCATCTCGAAATCATTCCGAACGGTAGATTTGACATATTATAAGAGTCTACTATCATAAGAGAGTACATATTTACAATAATACAAATTCAAATTTGGGAGAATAGAGTGAACACCAGCATATGTTATTGAAAAAAAATCTATGTATATGTCTGATACATATACATAGATTTTTTTTCGTAAATACATATATGGGGATTATCTAGTACCCATAACACAAGCTTTAGCTAGCTTAATTTGGGTATAGATGGCGCTGTGTGAATTGTCCTGAGATTATTATTATTATTATTACATGTTTAAATTTCAGGCTCGCAAAGATGTGGCTACCATACAGAAGGACATACAAAGTATTCAGAAACAGATATCGAGCATCGAGTCGCGCATCGAGAGCAAACGTAGTGAACGCCACAACATACTCAGGCAGTGCAAGGTTTGTCTTTATATTACTAGCTATAATTATTTAAAAAATAAATATTTTAGTGATAAATTAATGTTAGTTAAAAATCGTTTGGTTTTTGATTGTGACTACCGTAATCCCAAGTGGATCCACAGTATTAATTATTGTCTAATTGAAATTGCAATAAACTAACAATATATCTGGTTGTTCTTTTAATCGATTATTTGCCTATGCTTAACGGATTATGCTGATGGAAGTGGCACCAGTGGAACTTGTGCCTATGCTAACAGTTTACGCTGGTGGGGCACCAGTGGATGATAAAATGCATATGAGTTCAGGTCAATTGGCTAGATAGCTGATAGAAATTGTACAAACTGTGCATTATTATTATTCGGTACCGATGTGAATTCTGTGAGTTGTAATTGTACAGATCGACGACATCAACATCCCGCTGGAGGAGGGCAGCCTGGAGGAGACTGAGGAGTCTGAATCCTCGATGGGGACCTCCACGCTGCATCAGCGCGAGGCGCGCGTCCGCGTGGACTACTCCTCACTGTCGGACGGGCTGCGGGACCTGGAGGAGCCCGACGAGATCAAGCGTAAAGCCGACAAGCTGCAGAAGGCCATCAACTCGCTGCAGAACACCGTTGACAAGATACAGGCACCCAACATGAGGGTGCGTACATCATATACTATTTTTTACTTTGAACTCACAACCTTTGTAAGTCGGATAATAAATCACTGGACTACGACTATCATTGTTTTGCCGTTATCACATTACTAGCTACTCGCCCCGGCTTCGCACGGGTGTACATGTATTATATATATAAACCTTCCTCTTGAATCACTCTATTAAAAAACGGCTTCAAAATCCGTTGCGTAGTTTTAAAGATTTATTATATTATAGATTTTTTATACATAGGGCCGGACAGCCAGCGACTTACTTTAAATTTTAGATTTTAATGATATTTCAAATATTACACATATATAATAGTTTCAACCTTTACAATTCATTGCTACTTTATTTTAATTACAATTTTTGTTCTATTTTAACAACATACATTATTTCGCAGGCGATGCAGAAACTGAACGAGGTGCGTGAGAAAGTAAATGCCACCAACGAGGCGTTCGTGGCCGCCAGGAAGCGGGCGCACAAAGCCAAACTGGCATTCGAAAGGGTAAGAATAGAATAGAATAGAATAGAAAATCATTTATTGAAAATCGTAAATGTTTGCTTTTTGTTGTCCGCCTGGATTTATGTATGTATGTGTATTATTATTATTATTTTATTATGTTTATTGTATATGGAGGTGTCCGCTGAAAACCAGCGTCGTGGCACCCCGTCACGACATATGCTGAGCGGAGACCTAGTTGGTACTCTAATTATTAATATAAAATGTAAATTTAATTTTAAAAATTATTTTCAGTGTACCAAATAAACAATTTTCTTTCTTTATTCAAATAAACTTACATTGAAGCACTTTTGAATAGTCATTACATTTTTTTTTATCCACCGCTCATTCGGAAAGCTGTCTCATCACAAGAAGAACGAGCAAGAAACTTGCGTGTTGCTCTTTTAAATAATTTTATTATTACTTTACATTTTTAAGTTTAAGTGTGAATTCAAGCCACCAATTAGCACTCAATTCAATTAAATTAAATACTCAAATAGAAAAAATATTGAATATATAACCAAGGTAGAATGTTATGGATACCAGATATACAAAATGCCCTGGCAAGGAGCACAAGCTCGGGGCCTGAATCGTCTGTAGTACCTGCGGACGAACCAGAACTGAACAAGCGAAACAGATTTACGAGAGTTTTTACGAATAAGTAATCACTCAATAAAAAAATATATGGGTGCTCATGGGTGATAATTATCACTTAGTATCAATGCCGCTGCGATTTTCTTTGCCTTTTATATTATAAAAATACTAGCTACTCGGCCCGGCTTTGCACGGGTGTACATGTATTATATGTATAAATATTTTCTTGAATTACCTATTTAAAAAAACCGCGTCAAAATCCGTTGCGTAGTTTTAAAGATTTAATGTCTGACAGACAGCGACAGCGACTTTGCTTTATACTACTTTGCTATTTAATAACACAAACACCTTCACGTAATTTGCATGCCTGTATTGTAAATATTGCTGATCAATCAATTTCATGTAACATCATATTAATTATAATACTGTACCAATATTTCGCAAATAAATTATTTCATTAATTCATTCATTCAATCATTCATTCATTCAATTATTTATATTTTCTCGTTGTAGGTGAAAAAGGAGAGACACGACAAGTTCATAGATTGTTTTGACCACGTCGCTAATGAGATTGATGCTATTTATAAGGTACGTAAACGTAACTAATTATAATAATTAATTGTAAATTTTTTTAAAACTTTGAATGTTATATTTAATTAACAAACTAAAAATATTCTAACTTCAAAAAATGACAATACTTCATTACAAACTTTCATCTCCCCATTAAACTGTAACCCTTTTTCGCAATAAAAAGTATATGACGTATGTCCTTTCACAGGATCTAGACTATCTGTGTACTAAATTTCATTTAAATTGATTCACTAGTTTTCGCATGAAAGCTCACTAGTTTTCGCATGAAAGCTACTGAGTGACAGACAGTTACTTTCGCATTTATAATATTGGATGGATTAAAAGAGTTTCTTAACAATAAGTTTAGTAGACCGCGTCGTCAGGACAGATATAATGCTACGGTTGTGTACACAGGCGCTGGCGATGAACCAGTCTGCCCAGGCGTTCCTGGGACCTGAGAACCCCGAGGAGCCGTACCTGGACGGCATCAACTACAACTGCGTGGCGCCCGGCAAGAGGTTCCAGCCCATGTCCAACCTCTCCGGCGGGGAGAAAACCGTCGCCGCGCTCGCGCTGCTCTTCGCTATACACAGGTCTTTATCACGCTTCTCTAAGGTCTAAAATAGATGTTTCAGAGATCAAAATAGAATAGACAATCATTTATTCAAATAAACTTACATTGAAGCACTTTTGAATAGTCATCACATTTTTTCCAATCCACCGCTCATTTGGAAAGCTGTCTCATCACAAGAAGAATGAGCAAGAAACTTGCGTGTTGCTCTTTTAAATAATTTTGTTGTTACTTCACATTTTTAAGTTGCAGTGTTTGATAATAAACTACCAATTAGCACTAATTCAATTAAATACTCAAATAGATAAATTATTAAATATACAACCAACTGGTTGAGTAAATCAGTCGTAGTGATTAGAGCAGACCAGTCCCTACAAGCAGCGCTTGTTCACGAGTATGACGTATGAGCTAGTAGGTGATAATATCATGTATGGAAAAAACACTCTGCTATACACAGGTCTTTATGATGCTTCGGTAAAGTCGAAAATCAAAGATTTAGAGGTCAAAATAGTAGTTCATTATATCATGTATGAAAAAAATACTCTTCACTATACATAGGTCTTTATTACGCTTCTATAAGCTCTAAAATAGATGTTTCAGATATCAAAATAGGTGATTATATCATATATGGAAATCCTATTCTTTGCTATTATTTTTGTTTCACTAATTATCTACATTAAGGACCGTGTTTATACAATACTAGCAACCCGCCCCGGCTGCGCACAGATGTATTACAAATCTTTGAATTTCTCGACTGTCTATACTATAAAAATTCAATTTGTAATTTATAAATAGAAACGCGCTTGGACTACTTTCTAAATTCAATCCCGCTTAAGCTCTTTCTATATCTGATCCGTTTTAATTAGTTATTCAGTATGGCATGTATTATACATATACCTCTAGTCTAATTCTAAAAAATTAATTAAAATGCATTGTGTTATTTAAAAGGTACAGGGTGGCCCAGAAGACACTTTACATTTTGAAAATTAAATAATTTTTTTCTATTAACATATTTCTTTTTCTCTTTTCAGAATTAAAAAATATAATCCCTGGAAATTTTTATCATGGATAAGTTTACAACAGAACAACGAGTGAAGATAATTGAATTTTACTTTGAAAATGGATGGTCAATTGTTGCAACGCAAAGATCGTATATGCGCCATTTTAATGTTCGACATCCCCCTAGTAGGCCTGCAATAAGGAACTTAGTGAAGCGTTTTCAACAGCATGGCTCAGTAAGTGATAGGACTAGAAGTGGACGAGGTCTTTCAGTACGTACACGTGAAAGTACTGAAGCTGTGAGCCGTAACATTGAAGAAAACCCAACCAGGCGTTGTCAAGAACTTGGCATCTCACGGAGTTCTCTGCAGCGCATTCAAAGAGACTTGCACATGTACACTTACAAGGTTCAATTAGTGCAATCTTTAAAACCAGCAGACTTTCAGATATGAGTAAATTATGTACTGTACTGTCAGGTTTCAGAGAGCTTGTCGAACATTAAAATGGCGCATATACGATCTTTGCGTTGCAACAATTGACCATCCATTTTCAAAGTAAAATTCAATTATCTTCACTCGCTGTTCTGTTGTTAACTTATCCATGATAAAAATTTCCAGGGATTATATTTTTTAATTCTGAAAAGAGAAAAAAATATATATTAATAGAAAAAAAGTTATTTAATTTTCAAAATGTAAAGTGACTTCTGGGCCACCCTATATAAGCAAAGAGTTACGATGTTTTATTTTAATGTACAGTTACCAGCCGGCGCCGTTTTTCCTATTGGACGAGATCGACGCTGCGCTGGATAACACCAACATCGGCAAGGTGGCCTCATACATCCGCTCGAAGAAGGGATCGCTGCAGACCATCGTTATCTCCCTCAAGGAGGAGTTCTACGGCTGCGCAGACGCACTCGTCGGCATATGTTCAGAGGTGAGATTTGGAAGATGTGTTTCGGTTGTAGGGTGCAGATTAGGCAGTGAAATTACAGGGTAAGAGGCGTGACATCTTAGTCCTCTCGAGTACAACGCCGGAGTGATAACGTGGCTGTTACATAACGTGATGTCAGTAGTGCTGTTCATAATACTAGCTTTTGCCCTCGGCTTCGCTCGCGTTAATTTATCCCATTAGGGGTTGAATGTATCAAAATCCTTTCTTAGGGGATGCCTACGTCATAGTAGCTTTATGCATGCAAAGTCTCAGCCCGATCGGTTTAAAATTGACAAAGTTTCATACAAACTTTCATTCCCTATTTTATCCCCTTGGGGGTAGAATTAATCAAAATCCTTATGCGGATGCCTACGTCATAAAATTTACCTGCATGCCAAATTTCAGGCCGATCCGTCCAGTGGTTTGTTGATAGATCACATATATAGCATATATTCAACGGCGGATCCAGGGGGGGGTCATGACCCCCCCCCCTGAGCTGGTTTCAGGACTTAGGTGGACCACTAATTGAACATAATGATTTTATTTATATATTTTGACACCATACAGATTTTATGTAACTACCTTCCATATTTAATGAATTTAATATAATATAATAAATTTGTACATGAATAAAATACCTACTTTTTACTTGTATCTTGTAACTTGTCTATGTGACCCCCTCCTGGCGCCATGACCACGACTATATGACCCCCTCCTGGCGCCAAAGCTGAATCCGCCCTTGACTACATCTCGCTTATACGATTAATTTATTTCCAGCCTGCGGACTGCCTCGTCAGTGACGTCATCACACTGAGCCTCGAGAAATACGACGACTAGAAGAGATCGATTAGATATAGAAATATACGTAGGCTAAGCATTCCGCTGGGATCTGTTCAATGACGTTTTATAATTATTACATACTAAGTTAATGACATACAAACATACATGGTGACATATGTTATATTTCACAACGTAATTTATAGCGTAAAAATAAAAACTTACTTTAATTATATAACTCTTTTATTTACAATAAATCTCTTATATATACATAGTACGGGCGATTTACAAAACAGATTTATAAATGCCTCGCAGATTACCTATAGTTACAGCCGGTTGTTCTTTTTCATATATAATAACTAGTTGACCCACGCAACTTTGTCTGCATTACACTTGATTGTCATTATATGTCCAATTTACATATCGTTTCAAATTATAACCTATATGTTATTCTGATAAGCTATATTACTGTAAAGTTTCACCAAAATCCGTTCAGTAGTTTTTGCGTAAAAGAGTAAACATCCATCAGTACTAACAAACTTTCGCATTTATAATATTATTAAGATAGTATTCTATTAGAATGAAAATAATGTAACAAACACAGTTGTTAGTCGTCAAACATTTTGTGTCATATTTGATCGAATTCATAATTTTTTTTCTAAACTTAGATACATCAAGCTACATAAAAAATTGTCTATCTTGATAATACATGATGAAGTTTATATTTATATATAAATACTAGCTGACCCCGCAAAGATTGTTTTACAAAATAAATTAAAATCGCTATTAAAAAATAGGGTTTGGTTGATAGAAGGGTGAAAATTTAGGGTTGTATTTTTTAATGCCAAACAAAAATTTTGTCTACTATATAAAAATAAATATTAGGGGTAGACAACCCTTACCACGAATATGCATATAAAATTTCATAACGATTGGTCAAACAGTTTCGGAGGAGTATGGTAACTAACATTGTGACACGAGAATTTTATATATGAGAAGAATATACTATCTATACATATAAATAAAATTGGAGTGTCTGTTTGTAATATAGAAATAACCGTTTTTTACTACATGCATATGAATATAAATATGGTACATACACCAAAATAATATTTTTTACAATTTTTGTCTGTTTGTTCCGGCTAATCTCTGAAAGGGCTGGACCGATTTTGACGGGACTTTTTTTGGTAGATAGCTGATGTAATAAGGAGTAACTTAGGCTACTTTTATTTTAGAAAAATAAAGTTACATTCCACGAGGACGAAGTCGCGGGGACAGCTAGTAGTAAATAAAAATATATTTCTCTAAGTTTAGCGGCCAAATTAATTTCAGTATTATGGAATTCATGCAAGAGTGAGTTGACGACGTAACGAACTAACATGACGTAGTTCATGAAATTGTATTTCAGTGTTTTTCTTGAAAATATTCTTTACATTAAATTACAATATTTCTTACAAACTAACCAATGTATCACATAATAGGCTCTATCGTCGGATACAGCACAAGTATAGTTTTACAGTTAGCAGTGGTCCAAAGTAGGTCTCATGGGAATTGGTTATATTCGGAGTTAGTTGTACTATTGATTGTTAGATGCAATTAAGGGGGTAATGTAATGTAAGTTCGACTCCATTTTCCGCAATCGGCCTCTCATTCGGGCCGTTGTGCGTGTAGAGCCGAGACTACTAGAGTAGCCAGCCAAGCTCCTCCTAAAAGCGTAGAAGTCTCCTGGTATCTTCACAGGCTTCACGGCGCGACCTCACCGTTCCGAGAATTTGTTTTCGTTGTGTGGCCACTGCAAGCGCTCCAGGATTACGTGAGCAGCCGTTTCTTCGGCTTCAAAGCAGCCCCGACTAAGGGGGTCAGTAGCATCTATTGTGTACAAGAGTTTGTTTAAGGGAAGAGGCCCGTTAAATTAAGATGTATTTACATTACTATAAAAAGACGCGGTGTGCGGCACATTGGGAGGAGCACGGGGAAGTGCGTCCCCGGGCGGAGCTAGTAGGGGGAAGGGACGACACTTGGGGCGGAGCTAGTCGGAGGGCGCGACACACGGGGGGGAGCTAGTCAGGGGGGGTGACACACGGGGCGGAGCTGGTTAGGGGGTTGATATACGGGGCGGAGTCAGTCGGGGGGCGGAGCTAGTCGGGGCGGCGCGGCGGCTCGGTGCTGAAGTAGGGCGCGGCGTGGGGCTGCAGCAGCGTGCGGCACACGGGGCGGAGTCAGTCGGGGCGGAGCTAGTCGGGGCGGCGCGGCGGCTCGGTGCTGAAGTAGGGCGCGGCGTGGGGCTGCAGCAGCGTGCGGCACACGGGGCGGAGTCAGTCGGGGGGCGGAGCTAGTCGGGGCGGCGCGGCGGCTCGGTGCTGAAGTAGGGCGCGGCGTGGGGCTGCAGCAGCGTGCGGCACACGGGGCGGAGTCAGTCGGGGGGCGGAGCTAGTCGGGGCGGCGCGGCGGCTCGGTGCTGAAGTAGGGCGCGGCGTGGGGCTGCAGCAGCGTGCGGCACACGGGGCGGAGTCAGTCGGGGGGCGGAGCTAGTCGGGGCGGCGCGGCGGCTCGGTGCTGAAGTAGGGCGCGGCGTGGGGCTGCAGCAGCGTGCGGCACACGGGGCGGAGTCAGTCGGGGGGCGGAGCTAGTCGGGGCGGCGCGGCGGCTCGGTGCTGAAGTAGGGCGCGGCGTGGGGCTGCAGCAGCGAGCGGCACACGGGGCGGAGTCAGTCGGGGGGCGGAGCTAGTCGGGGCGGCGCGGCGGCTCGGTACTGAAGTAGGGCGCGGCGTGGGGCTGCAGCAGCGGGCGGCACACGGGGCGGAGTCAGTCGGGGGGCGGAGCTAGTCGGGGCGGCGCGGCGGCTCGGTGCTGAAGTAGGGCGCGGCGTGGGGCTGCAGCAGCGTGCGGCACACGGGGCGGAGTCAGTCGGGGGGCGGAGCTAGTCGGGGCGGCGCGGCGGCTCGGTGCTGAAGTAGGGCGCGGCGTGGGGCTGCAGCAGCGTGCGGCACACGGGGCGGAGTCAGTCGGGGGGCGGAGCTAGTCGGGGCGGCGCGGCGGCTCGGTACTGAAGTAGGGCGCGGCGTGGGGCTGCAGCAGCGTGCGGCACACGGGGCGGAGTCAGTCGGGGGGCGGAGCTAGTCGGGGCGGCGCGGCGGCTCGGTGCTGAAGTAGGGCGCGGCGTGGGGCTGCAGCAGGGTCGGGGGGCGGAGCTAGTCGGGGCGGCGCGGCGGCTCGGTGCTGAAGTAGGGCGCGGCGTGGGGCTGCAGCAGCGTGCGGCACACGGGGCGGAGTCAGTCGGGGGGCGGAGCTAGTCGGGGCGGCGCGGCGGCTCGGTGCTGAAGTAGGGCGCGGCGTGGGGCTGCAGCAGCGTGCGGCACACGGGGCGGAGTCAGTCGGGGGGCGGAGCTAGTCGGGGCGGCGCGGCGGCTCGGTGCTGAAGTAGGGCGCGGCGTGGGGCTGCAGCAGCGTGCGGCACACGGCGCACACTCGTGCGGGCGCGCGGCGCGGTCCGCTGGCGACGCTGTGTGAGGCGCACGACGCGCAGAAGATGCGCCCGCAGTGCCGGCAGTGCACCTACACACACACACACACACACACACGTCCATCATTACTCTCCCTACAAGTCTTTAGCTGCCTTTACACGTACGCTATTTAACGCACGAATCATTCTTCACGCAAAAAAAAATGCGCATGGAAATACAGACAAAGAGAACAAAAAAGACCGCACGTCCTTCAATAGAACGTGCTATAGCAAGTCATTGCAAAATGCGGACAGCCGACTGAAGCGAAGATATAATTATAGAATTATTGACTATAACTAGATGATAACTTTAAGTAGCTATGACGTAGTTGAGTGAATTAAGTAGGAATAGTCGAGTCTTTGGGCTACCCAAAATGTGGTCGAGCGCAGTGATGGCTATCAGTAACGATTGCGTGCTAGCTTTTACGCGTGAACTCGCACGCGCATTCCTAATAAATGAAAGAACGTGTCATGTAACGGTAGCTAATGACATCATAAAGACAACAAATTGATATGAGGCAGGTTCATATCTACTGCGCTCCAAACATCCATAAGAACATCGAGTGAACTAACCTTCTTTTTGCTAGTTTGAAGTGGTGTATGACAGGATGGACACTCATTGACGTCCTCGTCATGCTGCCACCGGACTTCCGTATCCGCTTCGCGAATACGTTGCAATTGGACCTGTTGTAACATCAAGTGTAAATTGTATTTGTTTGCCCGCGCAACAAGCATATCTCAAACAAAAGAAAACACTTCAAAAGCTTTTGACACAAGTCGACAAGTCAAATTATAAGTAATATCTAAAAAAGTGGACCAAGAAATTAACCCTTGCGGTACTACTTTCTCTTGTAAGGTGTACTGCAAGGGTTAATTCTCGGTCCCTTATTTTTAGAAAAATATTCACCATTATTTTTATAATATTAAATAAAATATTCTGCGATATCGTTAATAGAACTTACAACAGTGTGAGTGTTGTTACGTCACTACCTTCTAGCTATTTAGCAACTCGAATCATAAGTTATTATAAGACTTTTTATGGATTTAATTATTTCCATGGTTCCATTATGGGAAATATAGCTGATGAATAATGTATCGGAATATAAACTTCATTTTTTAGATATGTTACGTCCATATTGGGCGTTGATAATACGTCCTGTTAAAACGATGCACAATGTTTTTTTTACACATACAACCTACGCATCATTACTTCTGTCTCATTGTCTCCCCGCGCTTCATCTCTCTTATATTCATAAAACTCACATCATTTATGCATTATAAAGAGTTATAGTCCAGTATTAATTCAATAATCACTGATTGTATATTTGTTACATTACATTACATTGTTGTTTACATTACATTATTATCTGATTACATTAATAATGAGTGCGTAGCGACTTCTATGTTGATTATCGCATGCCTCTTACTTGTTATACTGTTATTATTTATATAAAAAAAATATCTATTAAAAAAAGCAACACACAAGTTTCTTGCTCATTCTTCTTGTGATGAATCTGCATTCCGAATGAGTGGTAGAATCAAAATATGACTATTCAAAAGTGCTTGTAATGAGTTTATTTGAATAAAGATAATTTCTATTTCTATTTCTTGTTTATCAATTTAAATGGTTGTGGTTTGTTGAGTGAGCGTGGTGAGCGTGGTGGGCGTGGTGGGCGTGGTGATCACCTGTAGTGACTGCGAGAGCCGCACGAAGTCCTGCTGCACCTTCTCGCTGTTGTCGAGCTCCTGCTGCAGCACGGACACGCGCCCGCGCGTCTCCTGCACCTCCGCCTGCAGACGCTTCTGTTCACAGACACACAACATTCAATAATAATAATTTTTATTTGTCCCCAAGTATGAACCTCAGGCCGTCGTAATTTCGATCCCCGTTTGTATTGGACGGGGATCGATCGATGGGGCTTAATGAGGTATGAATTAAAAGTACATTATCCGACCTTATCTTCTAGTAGTCCCTCGATCATGTCGTTGGAGTGTCGGAGCTTGTCGCCAAGTTCCTTCATCTGCTCGCGCTCCGTCTGCAGACAGTCCAGCTGTTCCCTGATGACGATAATATATATATTATACAAAATATCTTATACATATGTTAATCGTTAATTCGCAAAGAGCACAGTTAAAGAACAGCTGAATTAATTTATAAATTATTACACAGAAAAATTGAGGTAGCCTTGAGGTAGCGTGTTAGTCCGCTAGCAGCAAGAGGCTTTCTTGTCAATTATTTCGATCGAAAACTTCTAAGATGGTTAAGAACGTTGTGTTATGGTTCCTTGTGAAAGTCAACCGCGATTCAGAGGGTCGGTTGAGTAGTAGCACCCTCGTAAATTACGTTGAAAAAAATCAGTTATTTCCTCCTGGTTCAAATTCCTATAAACCTATATATGGATGATAAAAAATAGTCCTGTCGGTGGTAGATGGCGGCGTGGTGCTGCAGCTGGTGGTCTCTGACCCGGCCTGCGCGAGCTGTTCGTCCTGTCGGTGGTAGATGGCGGCGTGGTGCTGCAGCTGGTGGTCTCTGACCCGGCCTGCGCGAGCTGTTCGTCCTGTCGGTGGTAGATGGCGGCGTGGTGCTGCAGCTGGTGGTCTCTGACCTGGCCTGCGCGAGCTGTCCGCGCTGGGCGGCGAGCTGTTCGTCCTGTCGGTGGTAGATGGCGGCGTGGTGCTGCAGCTGGTGGTCTCTGACCTGGCCTGCGCGAGCTGTCCGCGCTGGGCGGCGAGCTGTTCGTCCTGTCGGTGGTAGATGGCGGCGTGGTGCTGCAGCTGGTGGTCTCTGACCTGGCCTGCGCGAGCTGTCCGCGCTGGGCGGCGAGCTGTTCGTCCTGTCGGTGGTAGATGGCGGCGTGGTGCTGCAGCTGGTGGTCTCTGACCTGGCCTGCGCGAGCTGTCCGCGCTGGGCGGCGAGCTGTTCGTCCTGTCGGTGGTAGATGGCGGCGTGGTGCTGCAGCTGTGCTCGCAGCTCTCTCTCCGCGTCGTTGGCCTCCTCTCGTCCGATCTGGCACAGGATGAGCTGCTCGCGCACCTGCAGCACGTGCTCCTGCAGCTCCTGGATACCACACCACTACAGCTTTAGTTTGTACTCTAACGATACTTATCTAACAGGGTGTTTTTTTTGGTGTGCTATTAATACTTTTATTGCGAGGGGAAGAGTAATGTGGACTATTGACCCCATTGCTAGAAATGTACCATGTCAGTTTAACCTCCACGGGGTTCCTCATGGGAACAATCATGATAAATTCTTAGAGAATTTGTCAACAAGGGCATAACTGCATTCGTGCGCGCGCTCGTTAGCGCAGACGGGTGCATCTTTCTATTATCTTATATATAAAATTCTCGTGTCACAGTTTTCGTTCCCATACTTCTCCGAAACGGCTTGACCGATTCTAATGAAATTTTGTGAGCGTATTGAGTAGGTATGAGAATCAGCAAACATCTATTTTTCATCCCCCTAAATGTTAGGGGTAGTCCACCCCTAAATTTTATTTTTTAGACAAAATTTTTAGTTTCTATTTTTTTATGATACAATTTACAAAAATACATACAATCCTAAATTTTCACCCTCCTATCATCAACCCCTATTTTTTATAGCGTTATTAATTTATATTGCAAAACGACGTTTGCCGGGACAGCTAGTAATTCATTAAAAAAATACTTTTATTGCATATTTATTTATTTGAAAGTATGTACACACAAAGGTCTGGAAGTTCTTTAAATATGTTCAATACATAAACGAGTTGGACTAACCTCGACATTGTCTGGAAGGTTTATGATTTCGTTCTGCATCTCGGCCGCCTTCTTCATGTACTGCCCGATTAACGTCGCGTTGTCCTTCTCCAAACTGGTAACATATAATATATTTTTTCTTTTACTCCTATATATATTTAATAGATAGAATGAAAAGGGGGAATTGAGTTGAGGAGTTGGTAATGTAGAATCATTATTCCACAACTAACAATGTATGGTATATTGTTAATTATACCATACATTATGCATATCAGGTATCTATGTACAAGTGTACATTGTATGGAAGTTTTTCATTTTTGAAGCTAGAATGATTAAACTTTTTTAAGTGTTTTATGCTATCTAAGGTCACTTGTCCTGTGCTATCACAATGACTGCGTAGCGGTATCTATGTTGATTATCGCATGCCTTTTACTTGTTATTAAGTAATTATTTATATAAAAAAATCTACTCAAAAGAGCAATAAACAAGTTTCTTGCTCATTCTTGTAATGAATCTGCGTTCTGAATGAGTGGCAGAATAAAAGATGTGACTATTATAAAAATGTATCGAGTTTATATGAATAAAGATTATTTCTATTTCACTACATGGCGGTACATCACAGGCACAGCCACACCACAGGTGTCGAGGCGTCGAATCGTACTCACGTGTCGAGCTTCCTCTGCAGCGTCTCGCGGTGCACGGTGAGGTCCGTGACGCGGAGCAACACCCGCTGCTGCGCGGCGGCGGCGGCGGCCTCGCGCTCGGCGAGCGCCGCCCGGGCGGCCCCCAGCGCAGCACGCAGCGCCGACAGCGACCCCGCCGCCGCCGCGCGCCCCGCCGCCCACGCACGCGCGCTCTCGTCCTGCAGCGCGCGCACGCCCTCCAGCTCCTCAGTGGCCTGCACACACACATACACACACACACGTCACCAGCCTCTACACGCGCGCTCTCGTCCTGCAGCGCGCGACCTCCAGCTCCTCAGTGGCCTGCACACACACACATACACACACACACGTCACCAGCCTCAACACGCGCGCTCTCGTCCTCCAGCGCGCGCACGCCCTCCAGCTCCTCAGTGGCCTGCACACACACACATACACACACACACGTCACCAGCCTCTACACGCGCGCTCTCGTCCTGCAAAAAAATACTCCTCAGTGGCCTGCACACACACACATACACACACACACGTCACCAGCCTCTACACGCGCGCTCTCGTCATCCAGCGCGCGCACGCCCTCCAGCTCCTCAGTGGCCTGCACACACACATACACACACACACGTCACCAGCCTCTACACGCGCGCTCTCGTCCTGCAGCGCGCGCACGCCCTCCAGCTCCTCAGTGGCCTGCACACACACACACACACACACACATACACACACACACGTCACCAGCCTCTACACGCGCGCTCTCGTCCTGCAGCGCGCGCAACCTCCAATCCTCAGTGGCCTGCACACACACACATACACACACACACGTCACCAGCCTCTACACGCTCGCTCTCGTCCTGCAGCGCGCGCGCGCCCTCCAGCTCCTCAGTGGCCAGGACACACACAAACACACACACACGTCACCAGCCTCTACACGCGCGCTCTCGTCCTGCAGCGCGCGCACGCCCTCCAGCTCCTCAGTGGCCTGCACACACACACACACAAACACACGTCACCAGCCTCTACACGCGCGCTCTCGTCCTGCAGCGCGCGCACGCCCTCCAGCTCCTCAGTGGCCTGCACACACACACACACACATACACACACACACGTCACCAGCCTCTACACGCACGCTCTCGTCCTGCAGCGCGCGCACGCCCTCCAGCTCCTCAGTGGCCTGCACACACACACACACACACATACACACACACACGTCACCAGCCTCTACACGCGCGCTCTCACTGCAGCGCGCGCACCCTCCAGCTCCTCAGTGGACACACACACACACACATACACACACACACGTCACCAGCCTCTACACGCGCGCTCTCGTCCTGCAGCGCGCGCACGCCCTCCAGCTCCTCAGTGGCCTGCACACACACATACACACACACACGTCACCAGCCTCTACACGCGCGCTCTCGTCCTGCAGCGCGCGCACGCCCTCCAGCTCCTCAGTGGCCTGCACACACACACATACACACACACACGTCACCAGCCTCTACACGCGCGCTCTCGTCCTGCAGCGCGCGCTCGCCCTCCAGCTCCTCTGTGGCCTGCACACACACATACCACACACACGTCACCAGCCTCTACACGCGCGCTCTCGTCCTGCAGCGCGCGCACGCCCTCCAGCTCCTCAGTGGCCTGCACACACACACACACACACACACGTCACCAGCCTCCACGCGCGCTCTCGTCCTGCAGCGCGCGCACGCCCTCCAGCTCCTCAGTGGCCTGCACACACACACACACACACACACGTCACACTAAGACACACACACACAGCCAGCGATAGCGCCGGAGATCTGCGCGGCTCGCGGCGCACACACACACACACACGTCACCAGCCTCTACACGCACGCTCTCGTCCTGCAGCGCGCGCACGCCCTCCAGCTCCTCAGTGGCCTGCACACACACAAACACACACACACGTCACCAGCCGCTACACGCGCGCTCTCTACCTGCAGCGCGCGCACGCCCTCCAGCTCCTCAGTGGCCTGCACACACACACATACACACACACACGTCACCAGCCTCTACACGCGCGCTCTCGTCCTGCAGCGCGCGCACGCCCTCCAGCTCCTCAGTGGCCTGCACACACACACACACACACATACACACACACACGTCACCAGCCTCTACACGCGCGCTCTCGTCCTGCAGCGCGCGCACGCCCTCCAGCTCCTCAGTGGCCTGCACACACACACACACACACACACACACACACGTCACCAGCCTCTACACGCGCGCTCTCGTCCTGCAGCGCGCGCACGCCCTCCAGCTCCTCAGTGGCCTGCACACACACACATACACACACACACGTCACCAGCCTCTACACGCGCGCTCTCGTCCTGCAGCGCGCGCACGCCCTCCAGCTCCTCAGTGGCCTGCACACACACACATACACACACACACGTCACCAGCCTCTACACGCGCGCTCTCGTCCTGCAGCGCGCGCACGCCCTCCAGCTCCTCAGTGGCCTGCACACACACACACACACACATACACACACACACGTCACCAGCCTCTACACGCGCGCTCTCGTCCTGCAGCGCGCGCACGCCCTCCAGCTCCTCAGTGGCCTGCACACACACACACACACACACACACGTCACCAGCCTCTACACGCGCGCTCTCGTCCTGCAGCGCGCGCACGCCCTCCAGCTCCTCAGTGGCCTGCACACACACAGACACACACACACGTCACCCGCCTCTACACGCGCGCTCTCGTCCTGCAGCGCGCGCACGCCCTCCAGCTCCTCAGTGGCCTGCACACACACACACACACACATACACACACACACGTCACCAGCCTCTACACGCGCGCTCTCGTCCTGCAGCGCGCGCACGCCCTCCAGCTCCTCAGTGGCCTGCACACACACACACACACACACACGTCACCAGCCTCTACACGCGCGCTCTCGTCCGCAGCGCGCGCGCGCGCTCCTCAGTGGCCTGCACACACACACATACACACACACACGTCACCAGCCTCTACACGCGCGCTCTCGTCCTGCAGCGCGCGCACGCCCTCCAGCTCCTCAGTGGCCTGCACACACACACAGACACACACACACGTCACCAGCCTCGACACGCGCGCTCTCGTCCTGCAGCGCGCGCACGCCCTCCAGCTCCTCAGTGGCCTGCACACACACATACACACACACACGTCACCAGCCTCTACACGCGCGCTCTCGTCCTGCAGCGCGCGCACGCCCTCCAGCTCCTCAGTGGCCTGCACACGGTACCTGACTTTACTCATGCGCTCTTTCATAATGAGCATGTAAATAGCTGCCTTTTCACGTACGCTCTGTTACGAGCAAATCTGCTTTCACGCAATAAAAAATGAGTACTTTTATACGTACGCAAATCTGTTTTCACGCGGAAAAGAATGACCATACAAATAGCTGCCTTTACACGTACGATATGTCACGAGTAAATCTACATTCACGTGGGAAAGAATGACCATACAAAAAGCTGCCCTTACACGTACGATCTGTCACGAGTAAATCTACATTCACGTGGGAAAGAATGACCATACAAAAAGCTGCCCTTACACGTACGATCTGTCACGAGTAAATCTACATTCACGTGAGAAGGAATGTCCATACAAATAGCTACCTTTACACGTACGATCTGTCACGAGTAAATCTATATTCATGTGGGAAAGAATGACCATAGAAATAGCTGTCTTTACACCTACGATCTGTCACGAGTAAATCTATATTCATGTGGGAAAGAATGACCATAGAAATAGCTGTCTTTACACCTACGATCTGTCACGAGTAAATCTACATTCACGTGGGAAAGAATGACCATACAAAAAGCTGCCTTTACACGTACGATCTGTCACGAGTAAATCTACATTCACGTGGGAATGAATGAGCATGTAAAAAACTGCCTTTGCATGTACGCTGTCACGAGCAAATCTGCTTTCACGCACGCAAAATAAGACAGTAAATAGCTAATACACTATTTCACACGGGAATCAGTTTTCACGCAGAAAAGAATGTGCATCTGCATTAGCTGCATTTAGACGTACGCTCTGTCACGAATAAATCTGCTTTGACGCGATAAGGAATGACCATGCAAATAGCTACCTTTAGACGGCACGTTCCATCACGTGCGATGATTCAATGGAGTGATTATATTTTAAAAAATCACTATTTCGCGCCTTTTAACGCGTATGTCTCAAGTCATTTCACTTTCTTTTATTTTTTCCAATGACACGTTTACGATTTTTAAATATCAAGAACTACATCATCATCATCATCTGCTTCCTTATCCCATTTATTTGTGGTCGGCGTAATATGTTTTTCGCTTCCATTCATCCCTGTTCGCAGTCATCGCGTTATTTACTTCCTTTCTTACCATATCATCTTTCACACAGTCCATCCATTTCTTTTTCGGTCTTCCTCTGCCCTTATAAATATCAAGAACTACAATGCTAGTTAATTATTACAAAGACGCTAAAGTTGACGTTTGAAGGACGTTTGATGCGGCGCGCGCGGTATTTCTCGTTCTTTATGCATCCATTTCTTTTATCGTCCTCTCCCTTTCCATCCATCCATCTGATCAAGGCATGAACAGCGAGCGCGATGATGCCCCCGGGGAGGCCCGGGGAGGCCCGGGGAGGCCCGGGGGCGCGGGGCGTCGGATAATATAGCGCCGCTGGCCGCTCACGGCCGCACACTGATTTTTAACGCCGTATCAACCGCACGCGCATCTTTAGTTTATTTTCATAGCGTTCCGTACTATTAACGTCGGGCTAAAGTATTGTAATAGTAATAAACGCATTGGAGAATATATAACAGTCCACTTTTTCACTGCCTGACGCCAACACGAAATTCATGTTAAACACTTTCTTTCTTCATGATCTGATTAGCCATATAGTAATACCATTTGTCCGGCAATAAATAAATATAATAATTGTGTTACCAGTTTGAGGGCGCGGTCGAGGGTCGTGGCTCGGTCGTTAGCTGCTTCGGCAGCCGCTTGCTCGGACACCAGTTGCTTCTCGTAGTTGGCGCACATGTCGCACTGACGACTCGAGTCTGTACCACATACCACCGATCATAACATCATATTATTTATTTACTATTTAAAAATGTAATTAAATAAAAAACAATGTGGATATATTATGTGGAAAAATGAGTACCATCATAGGGGTGTGGCTATTTACATTATATACTAGCTTTTGCCCGCGGCTTCGCTCGCGTTAAGAAGTATTACTATTAGGTATAGTTTTTGCGGCTTTACAGTACTTTTATACAAACTTTCATCACCTATTTTATCCCCTTAGGGGTGGAATTTATCAAAATCCTTTCTTAGCGGATGCCTACGTCATAACATCTACCTGCATGCCAAATTTCAGCCCGATCCGTCCAGTGGTTTGAGCTGTGCGTTGATAGATCACTATGTCAGTCACCTTTGAGTTATATATATATTTAGATATTGATGAAGTATTTTTTTTTATACCACGTAGGTGGCAAACAAGCATACGGCCCGTCTGATGGTAAACGGTTACCGTAGCCTATGGACGCCTGAAACACCAGGGGTGTCACATGAGCGTTGCTGACCCTTAATATTTACAATTGATATAGAGAAGAAAGAGAAAGGAAAAGAAAACCTATAAATCTAATATCATATTTATATTTTTAGTATACCTTTAGTAAGGTGTTATTAGAAAACCACTAACCAACTTCGGTAGAAGGTTTCTCTCCGCCAGAACCAAGAGTCGCTGGGCTACTGCACGCTGTGGATTTCACTTTTTGCTGAAAAATAAATAACAGACTGTTTCAATAAAGTAAACAAAAGTATCGAAAGGCCAAAAAATATATAAATATCTAATAAATAACTCTGGATAATTAACAGCGCCATCTAGTCCCACCGTAAGCAGAGCTCGTGTTATAGGTACTTGACAACTGATATAAATAGATTATACATAGATTTTTTTTCAAATACATACATAATATACATAGAAAACACCCAGACAAATACAAACAATCATACTCATGAATATAAATGTTTGTGCCGTGCGAGGAATCGAACCCACGACCATCGGAATTAAATCAGTGTGCTAAACTACTACACCACCGAGGCCGTTCAACTCTAATATAGTTGTGTAGAGATTATTATGGGGAATTTAATTTTTCCATTCATACCATTACATAGTATAAAACAAAGTCGCTGTCGCTGTCTGTCCGTCCCTATGTATGCTTAAAATCTTTAAAACTACGCAACGGATTTTGAAGCGGTTTTCTTTAATAGATAGAGTGATTTAAGAGGAAGGTTTATATGTATAACTAACTTTTGCCCGCGGCTTCGCTCGCGTTAATTAATTTATTAGGCGTGGAATTTATCAAAATCCTTTCTTAAGGGATGCCTACGTCATAGTAGCTTTATGCATATATGTTTAAAATTGACAAAGTTTCATACAAACTTTCATCCCCTATTATAAGCCCTTGGGGGTAGATATAATCAAAATCCTTTCTTAGCGGATGCCTACGTCATAACATCTACCTGCATGCCAAATTTCAGCCCGATCCGTCCAGTGGTTTGGGCTGTGTGTTGATAGATCGCTACGTCAGTCACCTTTGAGTTATATATATTTAGATATATATGTACAACCGAGCAAAGCCGGGGTGGGTAGCTAGTCATGTATAAATAAGAAAAAGGATATGTTGATATACTTCCTTTCCTATACGCAACTCTATAAACATGTATGGACATCTCACCAGCGCTTCCTGCAGCTGGCAGTCGGTGTCTCGCAGCTTGGCTTTCAGCGCCACGATCTCGTCATTCAGCGGCTGAATTATTGACTGCATCAGCTCACTATCTTCTGTGAACTGGCAATACAAAATGAATATCTTATATATAAAATTCTCGTGTCACAGTTTTCGTTCCCCTACTCCTCGGAAACCGCTTGACCGATTCTCATGAAATTTTGTGAGCGTATTGAGTAGGTCTGAGAATCGGCCAACATCTATTTTTCATCCTCCTAAATGTTAGGGGTAGTCCAACCCTAATTTTTTTTTTATTTTAAGGCAAAACAACGTTTGCCGGGACAGCTAGTAATTAGTATATTTATACAGAGCACCCGGTTATCCGACAAACATTTTGCAGAGCAATGTCGGACTATCGAATTTATAGTGTGGTGTTTTCTGACAGAATAGGCTGTAATTTTGGGTCTATTTTGAAGATTCAAGATTCTTTACTTGTAAAACATGCGTGATTACATAAGTAGATGATATACATACAAGGAATTTGTCCGACATGTTTAGCCTAGATGGCATACAATATATTTAAATGCTACAATAAAATATTAAATTTAAATGTTAAACAATAATAAAAAAGAATGATATTATGACATCATTCTTTACAAAAACTACAAGTATCATCTTAAGGGTGATTTATTAAATTGACACACGTTTCGACTTGTTAATTATTTAAAAGAGCAACACACAAGTTTCTTGCTCGTTCTTCTTGTGATGAGACAGCTTTCCGAGCGAGCGATAGATGAAAAAAAATTATGACTATTCAAAAGTGACTATTTAAAAAAAAATTAAATTAAGTTTATTTTAATTAAATCTATGTTAGTGGAGACGTAAACTGGTGGAAGGTCTCAAGTGCTGACAGAAATATTACAAGTGTAGGCACAATATAAATTAAGTTTATTTGAATTAAATCTATGTCAGTGGAGACGTGTCAAGTGTTGACAGAAATATTACAAGTGTAGGCACAATATAAATTAAGTTTATTTGAATTAAATCTATGTCAGTGGAGACGTGTCAAGTGTTGACAGAAATATTACAAGTGTAGGCACAATATAAATTAAGTTTATTTGAATTAAATCTATGTCAGTGGAGACGTGTCAAGTGTTGACAGAAATATTACAAGTGTAGGCACAATATAAATTAAGTTTATTTGAATTAAATCTATGTCAGTGGAGACGTGTCAAGTGTTGACAGAAATATTACAAGTGTAGGCACAATATAAATTAAGTTTATTTGAATTAAATCTATGTCAGTGGAGACGTGTCAAGTGTTGACAGAAATATTACAAGTGTAGGCACAATATAAATTAAGTTTATTTGAATTAAATCTATGTCAGTGGAGACGTGTCAAGTGTTGACAGAAATATTACAAGTGTAGGCACAATATAAATTAAGTTTATTTGAATTAAATCTATGTGAGTGGAGACGTGTCAAGTGTTGACAGAAATATTACAAGTATAGGCACAATATAAATTAAGTTTATTTGAATTAAATCTATGTCAGTGGAGACGTGTCAAGTGTTGACAGAAATATTACAAGTGTAGGCACAATATAAATTAAGTTTATTTTAATTAAATCTATGTTAGTGGAGACGTGTCAAGTGTTGACAGAAATATTACAAGTACATTATAGCACAATATAAATTAAGTTTATTTTAATTAAATCTATGTTAGTGGAGACGTGTCAAGTGTTGACAGAAATATTACAAGTACATTACAGCACAATATAAATAAAAAAGTTTACCTTCTTAGCGGGCTGGTCTGCTTCCGCGTCCGCTCCTAACTTGCGTGCCAGCGAGCGCACGAACGTCGCCGGGGCCAGCGACATCTCCTGCCACACACCGCGAGCGGTTATATCACGAAAATTTACGTACATAACACTATTATTGTTACTAGTGATCTATCACTGGTCCAAATTCGACCAAAAATTAATCTATACATCTATACATATAAATAAAATTGGAGTGTCTGTTTGTATAATTACCGTTTTTTTACTACACGCATATGAATATAAATACGGTACATACACCAAAATAACATTTTTTTAAATAGTTGTCTGTCTGTCTGTTTGTTCCGGCTAACCTCTGAAATGACTGGCCCGATTTTGACGGAACTTTTATTGGCAGGTAGCTAAACTGAAGCGAAAGAAGTAACACTATAACAAAACTGAAGCTATAGAAGTAACATTATAACAAAACTTGCATGCAGTGAAAGAACTAGGGTACTATTGCATATTACACGTGTAGTTCTCACTCGAATGGCATACAGCACCATTAGGGTTGCCAACCATACTTTATAACAACGTATCCTACTTTATTTTTGGTAATTATACTCTTACATACAAATAAAGTATGCAAAAATACTTTATTTTCAACCTTCACTGTGATGCGTAAAACAAAATACTTATTATGGGTACTTAACGATTTATAATTACTGAACGAAATGTTAGATGTCAATTGTGAGTTGTGACATTTGTCACAGCTCTAGTGTTAAAAGCACACAAAAATACGTTTTTAAAGCAATAAAAACATGAAATTTGATGAATACTTTTTTTTTCCTAATACTTTAGGTATTTCTTGCCTATCCAAAAACTGCTTTGGTATACGTTTTTTTTTTGTCAAAAAAAGTTGGCAACCCTAAGCACCATACCACTCCATAAAGTGACTATAGGGGACAGCACAGTCCTGCGACTTATGTACAAGATATCATGTTTTTATGGATCACAGTTTTTTTGTAAAAAATAGCTTTAAGTGTTAAACGATAAGGGTGCTTTTTGTAAAGCACATTTACATACAGCGTTCTCTTTGTAATTATTTTATACTAGCTACTCGCCCCGGCTTCGCCGGGGTGTACATGTATTATACATATAAACCTTCCTCTTGAATCACTCTATCTATTAAAAAAACCGCTTCAAAATCCGTTGCGTAGTTTTAAAGATTTAAGCATACATAGGGACAAACAGCGACAGCGGCTTTGTTTTATACTATGTAATGATTACTGTATGCTATCATTCTAATATAGAGTTGCAAACCGTCCTGTTTTCCCAGGACATGTCCTAGTTTTTGTAGTGTCCTAGGAAGCTCTGAATAGTTATTGGACAGCGTCCTGGGTGTTTAAAATAGGCGCCTCTCTTAATTACTCTACATTACAATGCAGTTAATTCGATAGAGCCACTGTAGGGGACAGTATGGTTATCGGATTGTTCACAAGATGGCAATAATAATGACAAACGTGGATGGCTATAGTTGTCCACGCACACATAGGTTACAACCTACACAAGTACACAATGTAAATAAACTGGTTTTAAAAAATCAATTGAGTTTCTTTTCAGTTCTTCTCAAATATAGATCCTATATACCGAACTGGACGGCAAGGAAAAAATTAAAATTATAATGTAAACATTTGACGTTCATAAGCGGCTAAAATGTCCTACATGAATAAATGATTTTGAATTTTAATTTATGTACGTAAATTTTTAAAATCTGTTGTGGAAACGTCATGTGAAGCTTTAAATGTTATGTTAAAAGAAATATTTCTGATTAAACAACTGAATCTCTAAACAACTGAATCTGTATCCGTCTTCTGGAAGGACGGTTGGGTTTTTCCCGACCACTACACTAATACAAAAAATTACGTTAATAGGCGGTTAAAATGTTTTACATAAATAAACGAGTATTTTTTTTTTGTGGATGATAATGGAATGGTGCACCCGTCTGCGCTAACGGTTTACCAGTGCAGGATGATAAGATGAGCATGAGATCAGGTCAGTTAGCCCATCGTGACAAATTCACCAGGAATTTAACACGATGGTTTCCAGGGGGAACCGCGTGGAGGTCGACCTGACAAGGTACATTGCTAGCAATGGGGTTATCAATCTACATTACTAACAATCCCCTTCCCCCAATAAATGAGGATTGCTTGTACTAAGTTCGGTCGACCTCTACTCGGCCTCCCCTGGAAACGATCCTTGTTAATTAATTACCATGGGCCAACTGCAGTGATCTTTATGACAGACATATGCACTATTATCATTATTCACCATAATCATTATGCACCTTTAAAAAACTATACAAGAATTATCTATGTACTATTTAACCTATAAATCTTACGGCAAAGTAGTTGCATATATATGTTTAATGTTTATATTTATTAATGTTATTTTATTCTATTTTGTTATTTCTAGTATATGTAATTGGTTTGTATTTATTAGTTGTAATTTTGTTTTAATTATTATCATTATTAATATTAATATTTTAAATAGTGCATCTCTCTCCCCCCCTTTCATATATATATATATATATATATATTCCTCGTTTTGGTGCCACTGAAAACCAGCTGTATGTTCACCTAGGACATACATTAAAGCTGATTGGAGCCATTTCAGTGCATTTTTGGATGTAAAAAATGATTATTTTTAATTATCTACACGGTAAATTAAGTTTTTTTTTATAACACAGGGGACAAACGAGTATGCGGCTCACCTGATGGTAAGTAATTACCGCCGCCCATGAGCACCCGCAACACCAGGGGAATTTCAAGTACGTTGTCGGCCTTTTAAAAAGGAATAAGCTCTTTTCTTGAAGGTTTCAATATCGTATCAGTTCAGAAATACCATTGCTGGAAGGCTTGTGCGTGGCAAAAAGTTTCTAGAAAACCGCACTGTGGAAGACCGCCATTCATCCAGATGATCAGGATGGTATTTCAGATCATTAAGTTAAGTTAAGTTTAATTATAATCAAATCATCAAATTAAGTTTAATTATATGGACATTTTATTTGCTGTTTATTTTTTTCGTTTGTTGTTTACATTGTATTTTTTACATTGCACTGAATAAAATATTTTTCTTTCTCTTTCTTTCCATTACATTATCATCCATAAAAAATCATATTAATTTATTTGAAAAATATACTACTTCGATATCAAAAAGTCGCTAGTCTGCGTAAGACCTTACAAGTAAGATACCCTGGGGTTCTAGATAAGGTGTTCCAGTAAAAACTTGTGTCTACCGCACGGCTGTAAACGAGTACGTATTGCTGATACCGTTTCCGCTGATAAGGCATACAACCAACTTAAGTGGTTCATATTTAATGTATTGGTGTTGTCGTTTAACCTCCCTTTTCATAAAATCCTATATTAATTTAATCCTAAATTTATTACTAACTGTTCCCTTAGACTTCCATCCGCATGGAATTTAACTTTATTATTCTAATATATATATATATATTTTAATTTAAAGCCTAAGTTACACCTTATTACATCACTTAAAAAGTTTGCAAAAAAGTCCCGACAAAAGCGGTACAGCCATTTCAGAGAATAGCCGGATCAAACAGACAGACAGACAGACAAAAATTGTAAAAATGTTATTTTGGTACCGTATATTATTCATATGCATGTAGTAAAAAAACGTGTATTTCAATATTACCAACAGACACTCCAATTTTATTTATATGTATAGATTTATCATTTAAAAAATATAAATAATAAATAATTCTCGACAATTAACACAGCGCCATCTAGTCCCAAGGTAAGCGGAACTTATGTTATGAGCACTAGACAACTGATATAAATAGTAGGTATATATTTTTTGTAAATACATACATAATATATATAGAAAATACCCAGACCGATACAAATAATTCATACTCATGAATACAAATGTTTGTATCGTGCGCGGAATCGAATGCTGTTGCCCGCAGGTGGCCGGTACAGCTTCACCGGACTATAGGGGGCGAGTGCAGATGGCACTCCAAACCAAGGAAGGACTTATGGAGCGGCTGAAGGCCAATTCCTGCCTGACGGATACGACTTTAGTCTGAGGGCACCGTTAGGGTTCGAACCTCGGCTCAAGCCGTCGTAATTTCGATCCCCGTTTGAATTAGACGGGGGATCGACCGGGGGAGCAATGACCAGTAGATATAAACTTCATTATTTTGATGTTCAGGGTTAAGCCGCGTACCTGCTGCTGCCGTTGCTGGTTGAGCTGGTTGAGCTGGTGGATCTGCTGCTCCAACTCCAGGTTTCTGGCGCGCAGCCGCCGCAACTCCTCGGAGCCCGATGACGACGCCTCCAGGGTTTCTGGAATGACATCAAATATCTTTGTTGTGGATCATAATAATAATAATAATCTCAGGACAATTCACACAGCGCCATCTAGTTCCAAATTAAGCTAGCTAAAGCTTGTGTTTCGGGTACTAGATAACTGATACAAATACATAGATAATTTTTTTTGCCCATAAACACGTTAAAGACTGCATGCCCACCGGTGGGTCACTCCGCAACGAAAGTAAAGTTACACGTTGGGACCGGTTGACCATTCGTGGGCACTTTAATTGAAATAAATCTAGGAGTTAAATACTAAAGACATATTTTAAAAATAATATATGTAACTAGCTGTACGCGCGACTTCGTCAGCGTGAAATTTTGCAATATTACTTTATTTTTCTACAACATAATAGAATAGAAAATCATTTATTCAAATAAACTTAATTTAAGCACTTTTGAACAAAATATTTTTTCTAAAATAATGGTAGCCTAAGTTACTCTTTATTACATCAGCTACATGCCAAAAAAGTCCCGTTAAAATTGGTCCAGCCATTTCAGAGATTAGCCGAAACAAACAGACAGACAGACAAAGATTTTAAAAAATGTTATTTTGGTGTATGTACCGTATTTATATTCATATGCGTGTAGTAAAAAACGGTTATATCAATATTACAAACAGACACTCCGATTTTATTTATATGTATAGAGTATTATTACCTTGCCTTCTCCATAAGGAACAAAACATGGGAGTATCAGAGTGGTAAATACTTCACAATTAACAATGTAAATATTAACTAATATGGATCGAGGAAAACGAACAGCAATCATAAATTAACGGCGCTGGAAACGCGTTATTTCGCAGTGAACATATCTATATTAATAAAAAAAATTAAAGTGTATGTTTGTAATTTCAAATCAAAGCTTGTTACTAAATACATATGGATAATAAATTTAATATTAAAAAAAATATCTGCCTGTCTGTTCTTGTTAATCTCTGAAGGGATTTTGACGGGACTTTTGAGCGATTTCTATGTTGATTATCGCATGCCTCTTACTTGTTATACTGTACCTATTTATATAAAAAACATCTATTAAAAAGAGCAACAAACAAGTTTCTTGCTCATTCTTCTTGTAATGAATCTGCATTCCGAATGAATGGTATAATCAAAATATGACTATTCAAACTAAAATGTGTTAGTTAAACTAGACTAAAAGTGCTTGTAATGAGTTTATTTCAATAAAGATTATTTCTATTTCTTTCACTCGCAGATAGCTTATGTTATAAGTAGGTACTTAGGCTATTTTACTTTAAAAAAATTAATCATTTTAATAAAATAAAAGATTTAATTTCGACGCAGTTCATTTCCGTCTCGAATAAAAGCTAATCTTAATATATAAAAATTACGTGTCACGTTGTTTGTCCGCGATGGACGTCTAAACTGCTGAACCAATTGCAAATTTGATTTACACATTGTGCGCAATTTTATCTAACTTGAAAGAGAGGATAGCTTATATGTCAATTTATAGTCGCAACATTATTTTATTCAAGAACCTTAGCCACAGCAACGCGTGGCCGTTTCTGTTGGTATATATTATTATATATATAAACCTGAAGAGTTTGTGTTTTTAAGTTGAACGCTCAATCTTAGGAACTAAATATTCTATAACCCATTTACCGAGGAAGGCTATAGACTACATAATATCACGCTACAACAAATAGGAGAGGAGCAGCAATGAAAAATGTTGAAACACGGGGAAAATGTGTCGGAGTGACGCAGCCGAAGTTGCGCGGGTCAACTAGTGTTTGATTTGGTGTGTTAATTAATTTTTATCGTTTCGCCGTTATCGAAATGATTAATATCCTAATATACAAGATTATGTAAAGGGTACCAAGCCAGGCAACGTAAAATTAAACTATATATACCTGGAAATAGGGTGGAAATTATAAAATAAACTAAACTAGATGAAAACCCGTTCGCTCGGGTGAAATGTGGGTAGATATTTCTGTAGTCATCGGTTCTCATGGAATATTAAAAGTAAGCAAGGCATAGATTTGTAAAGCTTCGTTCATTGTGTTTAATAAATATAGTAAATAAAAAGTGCAAAAGTTTTTATACAAATAATTTTTATTTAAAAAAGTTGTAAAAAGTGAAACAAATTAATAAAAAAAATTGCCAAATTTGTCTCGCAATCGGCCAATTTCAAAGAAAAAACGCATACTCTTTTATCATAAAAAAGTGTCAAAAACAATATTTTCGCGAAACGACAACGACCGAAGAAAGATGGCGACTGCGGTTTGTTTGTCAGTGTCATTAGAATTTTATATTTTGCAAATCAATATTTTTTTATGTTTTTTATTTAAAACGTTGACGAAATTATTAATATAAGTTGGGCAAACTTTGAACATTGAAGATATAGTATTAGTAACGCTATTAAAAAATAAAAATCGGTGGTAGAAGAGTAAAGATTTAGAGTATTTTTTAAAACGACATCGTAAAAAGACTATGAAATTATCAAAAACAATATTTTGGGTGTGTCACTCTTATCATTTAGGGGTATAAAAATAAATAACACCCTATTCTCAGGTCAGCTCCGCTCCTATTGGACGTAGCGTGATGTTATATAGCCTGTACCTTGCTTGATAAATGTGCTATCAAACACTATAAGAAATTCGAATTAAAAAATCATTTATTCATGTAGGACATTTTAGCCGCTTATGAATGTATTTTTTTTTTATATTATACATTTTTCCCTAACGTCCAGTTCATACAGATTCAATTAAGAAGAACTGGCAAGCAACTCAATTTAATTTCTTTTTTCTTAAAGCCAGTTTATTTACATTGTGTAGGTTCTTGTGCAGGTGTCATAGTTATAGGTATTGAATGAAAATTCCGTGCAACAACTATTGCCATGCACGCTCGTCGTTCAAGTAATCGTTTAGTGAGTATAGGCTTTGCTCAATAATTATGATTTAACACATGTTTTCAATCGTTTCTGAATCGGAGAGATATTACCGTTTAGTGAGCAGGCTTTGTTCAATAAGGATGATTTAACAGATGTTTTGAATCGTTTCTGAATCGGAGAGATATTACACTCTACAACTACACAAACTCATAAACATTACCACCGGTGCCCTAGTTGATCCCCGGTCCAAATCAAACGGGGATCGATACTACGACGGCTTGAACCGCGGTTCAAACCCCTATAGTGCCCTCAGACTAAAGTCGTATCCGTCAGGCGGGAGTTGGCCTTCAGCCGTTCCATAAGTCCTTCCGCGTTTGGAGTGCCATCTGCACTCGTCCCCTATCGTCCGGCGAAGCTGTAAAGGCCATTTGCGGTCGACAACTTTAGAGTAATCCGAAAAAAAAACTTTACATGTTTATAATAGTAATAAAGACGTCTTAGTTCTCTAAAATGCTAACGCATAAGTATCACGTTTATTACATGATAACGTGATGTCTATCTTGTTTTTTTTTTACCACGTAGGTGGCAAAAAGCATACGGCCCATCTGATGGTAAACGACTACCGTAGCGTATGGACGCCTGAAACATAATGTCATTGCAACTACATAAAAAAGTGGATTTTAGCAACAATGTAAATACTGACCACTGACAAGCAGCTGCAAGTTTTGTATCTCCGACTTCTGGTTGTGTGCGAGGGTCTCCAGCTGTTGCAGCTCGTCCCGCAAGCCCACCACCTCCGACTCCAGCTGCTGCTTGTCTTGAGACATCTTTCGCATGTCCTCTGCAATCACAGTACAGTTATAAACTTAACATAACTACAGAATTAATGATGAATTGATTATAAATCTTTGACGGCCTCGATGGTCTAGTGGTTTAGCACTCCGCCTAATTCCAAAGGTCACGGGTTCAATTCCTCACACAATGCTAACGTATCTTCATATGTATTTTATTTAAATTATTAACCGGGTCTTCATATGTATTGTTCTGGGATTTTACTATGTATATTATGTTTTCAAAAAAATCAGGAGCTCAATAAAAATAAATATATCCTGGTAAGATCCATGATTATTCCTAATTGTATATATCCTATGGTATAAATCACAGTCATTCATTCTTCACATGAGCAATAAATGAACATTAAAAAAAATGACAGAGTTTATTTAGTCAGTCTATGGTAGACCACAACGCTTGTGGTAGAATGCTAACATGACCTTGTGATCCCGGCACCAAAAGCAGGGGACACCCTGGGTATTTTAGCTGGTAAGTCTGGCAATACCGTCTACCTCCCCTGGAGGTTCCATGAGGAATTCTCAATGTAGAAAAAAGCTTAGACAATCTATTTAGCCGTTGGACACTACACGGTTATTTTAAGGTTATATACCTTAAAATAACCGTGTAGTACATACACAATCACGAGACAGACATACATTGCACCACAATACAACCTCATGGGGGGAAAAGGGATTGTTAGTAATGTGGACTGATCACACTAGCTAGCAATGTACCATGTTAGGTTGACCTCCATGCAATTCCCCCTGGAAACCTGATAAATTCCTGGTGAATTAGTCACAATAGACTGGACTTAACCTCATGTTCATCCTATCATCCCCCACTGGTTTCCCGCCAGCGTAAACCATTAGCGAAGGCAGGTGCACCATTCCACAATCTTCCATTAAAAAATATATATGTACTAGCAGACCCAGCCACGTGTTGCTGTGTCTAAAGTTCTTCAATAAAATAGTATTGCGCCTATAAATTGAAATATAAGCTATCCTATCTTTCAAGTTGGATCAAATGGCACACAATGTGCAAATCAAATTATGAGGTTTTTTGGAGAGGTATGTAGCAAAAACTATTTGGTTTAATAAATACAGTACTTTGAATTTCATATTATAATATTATTAATATAATTTGAAATTACCTATAATTAGGAACTGTACTTTTATTTAACTTTTTTAGATATTGATTTGATGAAAACCATAATGATAGTCATGATGTACAGACAGTAAATGGAAGTGTTTGTTTGTATTGATAAACATTACTATAGAACTGATTATAAATACTATGATATGTAATAGGATGACCACTAGAACAAATGATTTGTAGCAACACACTTCCATTCTGTCTGTCGACTGTTTAATTACAATCTCCCAAGTTCTCAACAAAGTAGGTCCTAGATCTAAACCCTAAAGGGTGTACATACACCTCTTTAAATTGGTGACCCCGACATGACCCCAATGTGAATTTAAAGAGGTGTGTGTACATGCCCCCCTTTAGAGTTTAAGTTTAGGATCTACTTTGTTGAGAACTTGGGATATTGTAATTAAACAGTCGACAGACAGAATGGAGGTGTGTTGCTATAGATTAAAAAATTTAAACTGCAATAAAATAAATAACAATGGACATTTTGTTTTAGATGTTACATGTACCAAATGAACAAGAATAGTAGCTGGTCATGAGTTATTGTAAAAAGTGGAATAGGAAGTTAATGAGGAACTCCTGGTAGATGCGACTACATTACACTTAGGGTTGCCAACCATACTTTATAATAACATATCCTACTTTATTTTTGGTAATTATACTTTATACTGTTACATACAAATAAAGTATGCAAAACTACTTTATTTTCAACCTTTACTGTGATGCATAAAACAAAATACACAGTATGGGTACTTAACGATTTATAATTACTTACTGAACGAAATGTTAGATGTCAATTGTGAGTTGTGACATATTTTTCCTACTAGTTGGCAACCCTAATTACACTACACAAAGCCAACAACATGCTCCCGAGGGCTCCACCGTCCGAACGAACCTTCTTTCTGCAAAAATAGCTCTTTCATTTTGGCACGCTGTACGTTAAACTCCTCCTCCAACTCCCGCCGCATTTGGTCCGGAGAAGACGTAGTCCTCTCTCCCACGGCCTCGGCTTGAAACAGACATAAAAGTAACGTCTTCCTTCCTCAAGAGCACCGTCAAAGCCAGATTTTGCAAGTTGTGGCGTAAAACACGTACCTTTAGTCATTTCTGCCGTTTCGTTAGACATCTTAGGGAGCCTGCCTTGCAGGCTATTGATTTAATTAAGCTGAATCAAAAAACAGGTACTCTCCTGTTAGCAACATCACAAATCAACACAGAAAAAGAATAGAAAATGTATAAATAATAATAATTTATTTTTTTATCACTAGAATGTGAAATTGTGAATGACTGACTTGTTGATTGTTGACACAGATTGACATTGAGAGTTAGACTGACAGTGAGTCATTTTGTTATTATACGATGGCATAGACAAAGGATCGAACCTATACAGCCTAACAATTTCTGCTAACAGCAGAAAAGTTATGGTAGTGTGCGTACACTTATAATATTTCTATCAACACTCGAGATCTATGTTATCTGGAGAGGTACTAATAGAAGGGCTATTAGTACCTCTCCAGATAACGTGGTGTAAAGTCAGTCTACATTACGACTCCGCATCAAAAGTACGCGTTACTAATAAGCCATGTAGCACGCTATAAAATAAACGTACTAATGTGTAATTAATAGTAAAATTATTTGTGCACTCTTTTTTTTTTTTTTATATTTAATTACATTTTTAGACATATTCGTCCGTGCCTTTTTTAATTTATTTATTTAATTAACAGTTCACTTTTTGTCGTAATTCGGCAATTTTTTTTTTCATTTCCCTATCCCCTTTTTTTTTTTTTTTTTATGACCGGAATACTCACTACCTACATACTACAATCACTACAATAAACAAATAAATTAAGTAGCGTCACCTCATCATATCATATATAACGTTACATTGGCGAGTTGATAACCACCGCTCTATAATAGGATCACTTTATTTTTTTAATACAATGCAAATGTTTTTACGTATATTAACTACATAGATTTATATTTTTTGTTAAAATAAGAAATCTGTGTAAGGAAATATTAAAAATTCGGTGGTTGCAAATTCAAGGATATTTATTTGTACTTTCTACGAATAATCATGATAGTTTTTGAAATCTTTCGTCTTTATCTTTTATGTTCTTTTCTCATATTGGGTGCGTAATATTAACGCATAACTTTTCGTATAGATATTATATTTTATATGCATAATTATAATGTTGTTAATATTTTTAGTGTACTTATACATATAAGTACCTTATATTATATTTTTTATTTTAAGTTTTAATTTATTACAAAAAAAATAATCAACATCGATTAACTTGTTTTCTCCACCTGTGGTGCACGGTGTCCTTTTGGTCAGCACATGTCAAGGAAAAACGAGACAAAGAAAAAACGGCAAAAAATATATTAAAATAAATAACTTTATTTGGTTTAATCTAACTCACATTCAATTTAGTTATAAAACACTTTTAATATTAATACTAGTGTGGTAAACTTAGAGTACCGTATGAGTGTATATGATCATATCATTGTCATGACTGTATTTGTTGTCAATATTACATTAAATTAATATAGAGTAATGAAATAAAACAAAACATATTTATTTCACAATAATAAAGCGCCACCATCTAACATTTAAAAAGGCACAGACATTATCACAGTTTGATATCTATTTTAATAGAATCCATAACAATAAAATATGCATAATATAACAATATATATAATTATATATATTTACAAGACAAATGAAATTATATAAATGCATTCAAACATCATTATAAATTATAGTGCAATGACAAATAAACATTTATCGCTACTAGATACTAGATGGCGCTTACTAAAGTCAGTTTAGCTACTCGCTGCTAGATGTCGCTAGAAGCCTTGTTTGGCGTCTCTGAACTGTCTGCCGTCGGGTAAGTCCTCGAGGCACGGTACTTGGACTAAGTTGAAATAAATATGGCCCATTAGGTGCGATGCGGACGTGTTGGTTGTTTTAAGACAGTCAAAGAGCAAGTCGTCGCAGGTGCAATGAGATTTACTGTACAAGGAGTTGTTGGTGAGGTTGTATCTCTTGGAGAAAGCCCTGACTTTGGTGGGGCAGAGGTCGTGGGTGCGACAGCAGCGGTCGAGTCGCCGGTCGGCGCCGAGGTCATGATAGTCAGCGGCAATGTCACCCGTTCCGCACCATTTTGTACCTGAAAATGATCATCAACAATGAGCATAAGGTACCTAATAAGGTAGGGTTAGACTTTCTCCTTTAAAGTCATTTAATTACCGGTCTAATTATAAAAATAATCTCACAAAGTAATAATACCTCAGGACAATTCACACAGCACCATCTAGTCCCAAGCTAAGTAGAGCTTGTGTTATGGGTACTAGACAACGTTGGCAACCCTAAATCTAGTATAACAATAGGCACTAGATTTAGGGTCGGCTACGCGCAGGTGACACCCTTGGTGTTTCAGACGTCCATAGGCTACGGTAACCATCAGATGGGCCGTATGCTTATTTGCCACCTACATTAAAAATATGTACATAGACATATATATATTTTATAAATACATACATACACGTACTTCTAACAGCGTGCGAGATTCGAACCCACAACCATCAGAAGTAGAGCAGTGTAACCCGCGACCATAGAAGGCAGTGTGCCAAATCGATTGGCCACCGAAACCGTCTTGAATTTACGTTAATATTATAAATCTCTATTGTCTGTTTGAACGCGCTAATCTCAGGAACTACTGGTTCGAATTGAAAAAATATTTTTGTGTTGGATAGTCCATTTGTCGAGGAAGGCTTTAAGCTAAAAGCTTTTTTTAGTTTTTAATTTTTTTTTTTAAATTTCATTTTTGCATAATTTATTAAAAATATATACAACCCAAAACTTTCAATCTGCACCATCCCTATTTTTTAACATATATAATTTATATTGCAACAATCTTAAACTTTCACCCTTCTATCACCAACCACCACCAATTTTTTTTTAATAGCGATTATATTGCAAAACAACGTTTGCATCTGTCAGTCAGTATAGGTATAAATTGGTCTTAATAAAAGAAGGGTTCCTCACCAGGTATGATGCCCTGCAGCAGCGTGAGCGGGCTGCCGCCCAGCAGGCCGGCGTGGGCTCCGCCCGCGTCCAGCCGGGCCCGCGCCCCGCCCCCCGCGCTCCACGCCGCCCCCGCCTCCGCGCCGCCCGCGACCCCACTCTCTTCGATCTCCAAAGACCCTTCAACTCCTTCCACCTGATAACAAGTGACAGATTTATTCATTTATGTCCGGTATCCTATTTTTTTTATTTTTATATTTTTTTAGTATGTAAATTTGAGCGTGTTTGACCGCAATCATACCTTATGTTAAATGATGATGCGGTCTATATATTTATTTATTTATGTCCTGTATTCTATTTTCTAAACGATATATTTTTATATTAATAATAGTTACTTCTAAAAACACAGAGCAACAACGTTTAGCAATCATTACATATGTTCCTAAGTATTTACATAACCTAATTGTACTACTAAGAACCTAAAATTAAAAAGCTTAAAAAAATATAATATGATGACTAAAATACATTATTAAAAGGGGTCCCTTTAGGCAACGTTCCGAAGATACTGCAGCGTTCCCTCTTTTTTTATATTATATTAATTTCTTTATTAAGTAAATTTAAGCTTGTTTGATCGCGTCCTTCATTTTTGAACAGATAATTTTTTAACATTTTACGATTTTTCAGTCCATGAAATATCATAGCATTCGACCGGTTTTTTACAATTATATACATACGCTAGCTGTACACGCGACTTCGTCCGCGTGGAATTTAACTTTACTTTTCTAAAATAAAAGTAGCCTAAGTTATTACGTCAGTCGAGTCAAGTCGATTTTGACGGGACTTGTAATCGTGCAATTCGTCGTGCAATCGTATACGGCTAGTCCCGTATGTAGATAGTTGCTATACAACTGACTGAAACGTTGAATTAAAGTCGCTGATGAGCGAGACAACATACTAATTAAGTCTCGTCATGTTCTCAGGTTTCACTCGCTTCTTTCACTACAGCATTGTCCTGTCACAGACTAATTAAATTGTTCACTGAGCTATGCAGACGATTCTTGGAGTTCAGTATTGTTTGTGTGACGTCGCGCATTGTTTCCCGCTATATGATCTGTAGGTACAACGCAGGGACCGATTTATTATTAGTCAAAGCAGATGAATCTAGGGCCCGATGGGTCAAGCGTATAAAATTTAATCGTAGAGTGAAAGAAAATATATACAAAATTTGTATCTTTTTGTGGATCAATGGGATGGTAGGTGGAGGGAGCCATAAAAAATATACAATAGATACAAAATTTGTATCTTTTTGTGGATCAATGGGATGGTAGGTGGAGGGAGCCATAAAAAATATACAATAGATACAAAATTTGTATCTTTTTGTAGATCAATGGTTTGCAAGGTGTGGGTAGCCATAATTGCGATGCTGTTTAACAAGAAGTTTGTGAAAATCACAAATGAAAATGAAATGAGTCCTACATTTTGTAACTTCACATTTCAATTTTAATATAAAATATACCATTACGAAATGTAAATAGATAGATACACTTTTATTTGCGATAACACACAGTAATATATAAAAAAACAAAATTAGAAGCAGTTACACAAATGTAATTGTGGTCAGTTAATACAATATGGTATTAAAAAAAACATGTGAGTAACGTAGTGTGTGTGCATCGCCCATACGCACAAAAGGCATCACTTCAGTGAATTGTTTGACAGGCTAATCCACTGAAATTTAGATATTGCCCAGGGATATACGCGAGAACGAATATACGTAAGGATATACGTAAGAAAAGGTCAAGCTGGCGTCCAAGAAGCTCGGTGTGCTGAATAGAGCGAGGCGGTACTTCACTGCGAACCAGAGACTTCTATTGTATAAGTCGCAAGTTCGGCCGCACATGGAGTACTGCTCTCATCTTTGGGCAGGAGCACCTGGATCAGCTCGGTCCTTTTGACTCGGTTCAGAGACGTGCTATGAGAATTGTCGATGATCCCAATCTCTCTATACGGTATCGAACCACTTAGCTTGAGGCGAGACTTCGCATCGCTTTGTGTGTTCTACCGAATATACAATGGACTGTGTTCTGATGAATTGTTTGACATGATGCCTACGGCTACCTTTTACCATCGCACCGCTCGCCATCGACAGGGAATTCATCCCCACACGCTGGAACCTAAGTGGTCTCGTACAGTGCGGTTTCAGAGGAGCTTCCTCCCGCGTACACTTAGATTGTGGAATGAACTACCTGCCGAGGTTTTCTCGAGAGACTACAGCATGGGGGTTTTCAAGAAGGGTATATTAAGGTTTCTTAAGGGTCGGCAACGCGCATGTGACACCCCTGGTGTTTCAGGCGTCCATAGGCTACGGTAGCCGTTTACCATCAGATGGGCCGTATGCTTGTTTGCCACCTAAGTGGTATAAAAAAAAAAGAACGCATGTAACAAAACCGCGGCATCTAACCAGCCCTATTACATTATAATAAAAATCAGTGACAATAACTGAAATAGTATAGATATAAAGTATAAAGACCCCCCAACGTGCGTAAGCAAAAATTAACTTCCGATTTTTTTTTATTTCACAAATGACAAAAGTCAAATATAACCAGCAATTTATTTTTTCCGCATCAGCTATAAATGATCTAATAATAAATCAGTTTGCCGAAAAAATGGCAAGGAGAGAGTTTATTTAATTTGAATTATTTGTAAAAATTTAAGAATGAGATGTCAGATAGATAATTATAATGAACAAATATTTTTTTTAATATTATGCATTTTTTTTATAAAATATTTATCAGATATTTTTTTATAATAACGGGGCGCCGCGCCTTGGATACGTACGCTTCTGCTAGCGACTCTACCATGATTACTCCAGCCCTGTCTACACGTACATATCTACATTTCGTACACGACATTCATTTGCAAAAGAAATGTATCACTTTCATTTTATAACCCCTACATGCGAAATGCACTGAATTTGACGACCTCGGTGGTGTAGCGGTTTAGGATACCGCTTTTCTATCGTAGGTCGCGGGTTCCGCGGACCACAAATACAATATTGACCTGTTAACCGAGCGGGACGTATACATACTTCAAACGTCAAACTTTTGTGTTCCCCTCCCATCGATCCCCCGGCCAATTCAAACGGGGATCGATATTACGACGGCCTAAGCCGAGGTTCGAACCCCTAGTTGTGCCCTCAGAGTAAAATCGTATCCGTCAGGCAGGAGTTGGCCTTCAGCCGCTCAATAAGTCCTTCCGGGGGTTTGGAGTGCCATCTGGCCCCTCTGAAGCTGTAAAGGCCAGCTGCGGCCAACAGCATTAGAATAGTCGAAAAAAAAATAACTTTTGTGTACGTGTAGGACATACATATGTATACCTACATTTTTTAAATTTTAATATCTGGAGCGGGTGGAATATTTCATATCAAAAATATATACATTAAATGGTATATGCTACAATTGCCGTCATTCGAAATGTATAATTTTATTTTAGTAATAAAGAATTAATGATAAAAATCATATGTCTTTACGAAATTACATTAAATTATATTATGCTAATGTACTGACGTCCTAGTGAGACAGTGTCCGTTATATGCTGTGTGATAGTTAGAAAAACCGAATACCCCGGTTAACAGGTTAATATTCTTTCTATATATGTTAGTTCTTAAGGTATATATAATGTGGGCTGATATTGTTATATAAATAATATTAAGTTGCCTCAATTAAAATAAATAGTAGATACAGGAAAGCCGAGAGTTTCATACATTACTAAAGCACCCGTGCTAAGCATCATTACATAGTATAAAACAAAGTCGCTGTCGCTGTCTGTCCGTCCCTATATATGCTTAAATCTTTAAAACTACGCAACGGATTTTGAAGCGGTTTTTTTTAATAGATAGAGTGATTCAAGAGGAAGGTTTATATGTATAATACATGTACACCCGGGCGAAGCCGGGGCGAGTAGCTAGTTATATATATATATATATTTGTTAGCTATTCCGTGACATAATGAAGGTCATACAGACGAAGTTTTGTTATTATATATATACAATTACAATTGTAAAGTATTATTTTATGAATATTCATATTTAGGTATGTAGGCACGAAAAATATACTAGTTTCCCATATTTTAAACGTATAATCTAAAACCTTGACAATTATTTCTAACAATATCTCGGATGAATATCATGTTTTTTTGTTATTTCTTTTCTTGTATTAGTTATAAAATACGTGATATAGTTTATGATAGCTAATTACGCAGACCATTGTCTGCTTCATAATTATGTAATTGAAAAATCTGTAATATGTATTTATAGGTTTACAAAAGGAAATGACTAAAGATTGTACGTACAATAATACACTTATTGTTGCGTTACTAAATATTTTTACCCGTAATATGTGTAAACAAAATGATATTTGGTTAACAATGGTGTGGGCGATAAAGGAAACCAGGGAATTGTAGGATATATATATATTGTATATATTATTATAAGAGTATATTATAAAGAAACACTACTAACTAGGGCCAGGAAGGGAAACCGAAAGGAACAATAGATAGCAGTGACAATTTAGAATAGAATTTTGGTATTCGACATATAAAGCATATAAAATAGTTATAGACAAATAAGTGGCCTGTATTCCACAAATGGAACGGCAAAAACTAGACATCACAAAAGTTCTCACGGATATCTTTAAATAAACTACATATTAAATTTTATTATAAGCAGCAATTGTAATTATTTATTATTTGAGACAAAAAATACGTCTATTATTGTTGTCTCATTTTCACAGGTTTTGGTGGTTTTTTTACGCTTTGTGACGTATGCCACACTTACGGGCCAAAACCAAGTACGTGCAGTGTGAGTTAATGTGATTATCATTATTATACCTAAGTTTGCACTGTATGTATGATGATGAAATAGTGGTCCCATCTACGCTAGTGGAGTGTGCTACCAGTGGAAGATGATACTGAGGCAAAATACGCAGTATGTTTTAGCAACGGGACCGCCAGGTCCCATTCATTAGAGAGACGGCGGAAGTTCGGGCACCAGCCACGACACATGTAATTAATGTTAGAAAATGGAGCTGACATGTAATTATGACTCCGTCTACCCCATATAGGACAACAGGCGTGATAATATATATGTTTATCTAAATATGAAATTAATAGTGAAAATAGAACTGACATCTAATAATAACTCTATCCGTGTCTATCCGGTGCAAAAGGCGTAATAATATGATATTTATTAGTAAAATTAACATAAGATAGCACATAAACTGAAGCACAATTCAGGCTAGAAGGATAATATATATGTTTATCTGGAAGAATAATGAGGCAAAATTATATAGTGAAAAGAGAGACGGCGGAAGTTGACATGTAATTAATGTTAGAAAATGGAGCTGACATGTAATTATGACTCCGTCTACGCCATATAGGACAACAGGCGTGATAATATATATGTTTATCTAAATATGAAATTAATAGTGAAAATAGAACTGACATCTAATATAACTCTGATAGACAAAAAGCATAATATGATTAGTAAAAGTAAAACACACAAATTCTAAGGTAAGAATCCGGCTCGAAGGACTAGTCCTTCGAGCCGGATATTTTTTACTTTATTGGATTCTATCTGCGGTTAGTCACCTGTGCACGTGTCCGGGGCGTTACCTGCTGACACTGGCTCATCAGTTTGATCATCTGGTGGAAGGTGACTCCCAGCGGACGATTGATGCGGCTCAGCTGCCGGAGGAGGCGGCTCGTGTCATCCTCGTCACTGAAAGCCAATTAAATAACAATTAATTTAATTACCGTTGCGTCCTTATTGTACTACTCCGATTTAAACACAAAAACATTTTTGTAAGTATATCAATTTATGTTTTTGGTGATGTAAACACCTATAACAAAGTAATTTAACATCTCAACTAAATGCAGCAAACAGAGTTCTGTCTACAGTACTTTACTTTGTTCTTAGTGGTAAATGTTTATTTTGTTTTAAAGTTTGCGATTCATAAAATATTATTGTACTAAACTTCCTAGTTTGTAAGGAAGTGTCTTAATGTCAGTGTTACATACATACATCGAGGTCACATTCAAGATGTATTGTGATATATGAAATTTTAAAATTATCAGTATTTAAATACCAAGAAATAAGTAAAAATTCTTTCATAATAATACATTTATTTTATCATCCACCTTAAAGTGACTTACACTGATTGTTTTTTTTTTCAAACACACATACTGATTGTTTGTTACGGTACATACATAAAAAAATCACTTTTTACAATTTTTGTCTGTTTGTCTGTTTGTTCAGAATAATCTCTGAAATGGCTGGACCGATTTTGACGGGACTTTTGTTGGCAGGTAGCTGATGTAATAAGGAGTAACATAGCGCACCACGCAGACGAAACGTATATATTTATGTAGTATTGAAATGACCGTTTTTTACTACATGCATATGAATATAAATACGGTACATACATCAAAAAATCATTTTTTACAATTTTTGTCTGCTGTCTATTTGTTCCGGTTCTCTGGACCGATTTTGACGGGACTTTTATTGGCAGGTAGCTGATGTAATAAGGAGTAACTTAAGCTACTTTTATTTTAAAAAAAATCAAATTATATTCCACGCGGACGAAACACAGGTGCTGCTAGTTACTGATAAATTTACTAATTTTGAGTAAAAAAAAATTGTTATAAAGGTATAGAATTTACAAGCAGATTTATATTCAGGTAGGTAATCCATTACATCATCCATTTTAGATCTACATAATGTTTGGAATATTAACATTAATATATTGATAGGTATAGTTATTTGAATTTGAAAGACGATTGCATGCAACTGAAATGAGAATGTTGAGGTGGATGTGTGGTGTGACAAGAATGGATAAGATAAAGAATGAATACATTAGAGGAAGTTTGAAAGTGGCACCGGTGTCAGAGAGGTTGAAGAGTAATCGTCTATCATGGTATGGACATGTAATGCGCAGAAACGAGGATAATATTTTAAGAAAGGTGTTACAAATGAATGTGGATGGTTATAAGGGCAGAGGAAGGCCAAAAAAGAGATGGATGGACTGTGTGAAAGATGATATGGTAAGAAAGGAAGTAAATAACGCGATGACTGCGAACAGGGATGAATGGAAGCGAAAAACATATTACGCCGACCCCAAATAAATGGGATAAGGATGAAGCAGATGATGATGATGAGTTATTTGAATTTTGTTAAGTATTCAGGGCAGCCCGCATGTTTTGAACAAACTTAAAAAAAAATTGATAACAACTACTCGTATGCACAATAGTTTTAGTATTAACATAATAATTTATAAAAAAAATAGATAATTACTAGGTACAGTTTTGGTATGTACAGAATATGACCTAGATATTAACTACGAATTGATTTATTCATAGATAATACAGAAAATATTTATTACTTGAAACCTCATAAATATTTACGTGCATCATGCAGTTTTAGGTGAATATTGTGGGAAAGATGATTGCATCATATTTTCATGGAACGTGTTCGTAATGCATCTAAAAGAGTATTGGAAACACTATATTTTATTGGTAGCAACATTAAATTTATTAGCTGGCAACTCTCTCTCTCTCTTTCTCTCCGTCCGTCCAATAAATAAGAAAAACATCAACCAGGAGACCATCACCCATCACCCACGCAGGGAAATACATCGCCTCAAACAAACGAACATCAAATACAAAATAGCACAAAGAGAATGTACCATCCAAGCTTTAAAGTTAAGTAGGTTAGACATAGGAACATTCCATCAAATATTGGCAGTACCCGCTTCCGATGCAGCCAAGTTATTTTTTTTAAATTTATTTATAACTCTTTATTGCACCTTAAAAAAATACAAAAAAAAAACAATATTCATAGTATACAGAAAGGTAAGCGAAGTACAAAAGGCTGTCTTATCGCTAAAGCGATTTCTTCAAGACAACTTTTACAAGTTATTGTTCTGGATGGTATCATATTAGTTTAAAAATTTTAAGTTAATAATAATCTCAGGACAATTCACACAGCGCCATTTAGACCCAAGTTAACCTAGTTAAAGCTTGTGTTATCGATACTAGATAACTGATACATATACATAGATATTTTTTATTGTAAATACATACATATTATACATAGAAAACACCCAGGCCGATACAAACAATCATACTCATGAATACAAATGTTTGTGCCGTGCGAGAAATTGAACCCGCGACCGTCGGCCGTAAAGCGGTGTGTGTAGACCCTAGACCGAGGTCCACCAGACCACCGAGGTCGTCAAGATGAGTTTTATTTTATTTTTGTTATTTAGTACAAGTACGATAGAATTGTCGTCGTCATATTTTGTGTACAAATATTCCGAAAAAAAAATTGTATATTACAATAAACATTTTGTTAAATTCATGAGGTATTTTTTATTGGTTTTACTAACTATGTATTATAAAATAATGTGTATAATTTCTATAAGCTGTTGATTGCCTAAATAAATAAAAGAACAAAACGAAAAAAAATTAACACAGAGCAATTAACGTCACGTTTTGTAAGAGTTAGGAACGTTCTCGTGTGGGAATTTAATCAAAATTGAATGAAACAATTCGTAATGCAATTGAAAAAGAAAAGTTTGCTCAATTTCTCACAACAATTGTTTCAAATTAATTAAGTCAAGTCTGCATACGTGCGAACCTTCAAAATGAATCTCTCCAAACAATTACCTAGCAAAGAGGCAGTGTTGAAAAAGAAATATTATATAGAAATGTTATGAACACTACTAAATTGGGGTCCTTTTGCCTTTCCCTGTGATGGGAAAAGCAAAATAAAAAACAAATGGAGAGTATTACTCGTAAAGACATAGGAAGACTAAGGAAAATTTATATAATTCTATAATGAACACGAAAACTTATATTATTACAATCAATAGATGTAACAAGTATTATAATAATAGTATTAGAAGGAGAAAGGTAACCCCCAATAAATTCTGAATACCATAATTACCATTACAACCGTAATAAAAAAAAACACAATGACCATAGACGTATGTAATAAAAACCACATATACAGGTATTAGCCGTGAACAATTTGGCGCCAAATTAATAGATAGCAATTAAAATGATGTAACAGCGGGTCATTGAACTTGTCCCATAGAGCGTAACTTTCACCGAGTGACGTCACAAGTTACGTGCAAGTAGGTCTGGGACACGGGACAAGACCGCGACGAGACAGAACAGTATTATACCAGTTTAAGAACAAAACTTTTTTTTTATAACATGGGGGGGAAGAAACGAGCAAAGGCTTTCTCAAACAGAAAGTTATATAAATATTTGAAATAGAGTTTTTCTTTCGTTCCGATTTGGATAAATGCCAATTTAGTTATATTTCCGTATTATAGTTCTATATGCAGTCATTGTTGCTTTAATAATTTTCTTAATAGTACATACTTTAATTAAAGATATATCGCTATGAAGAAATGAAACGCTGATGTAATTATATATATAACCCTTTTTAGGAAAATGGCGCGGACGAGGGAGTATATAATAAAATTTAGCATACTTATATATAGAGGAGTGCAGAATTCTAATATATTTTTAATTATGTTTTCACAATTTAAAAAATATTATTCGTATTACATAAAAATTAAATAAAAGTATAATATTTACGTAATACTGCATACATAATATGTGTATACAATATACGGTGCTTACGTACAAAGTAACCTCCATTCGTTATGCAAGCTAAGCGTTAAGTAAATAACTTAATCCAATTGTGTACAGCCAACGAGTGCAGTAGGTTACAGCTTAAGTACAAGGTCTATAAATTAACTGTAGCTATATATATATTGTTTACATAAAACATAGTCGACGTCGCCGTTTGTTCGCTTATATCTCTTAAATTATGCAACGTATTTTAATGCAGTTTTCAGCAATAGATTGAGTAATTCATAATAATAGCCCACGACTGCCAGACATACGTCATTTTAATAAACCTGAAAGTTCTTGTATGTGTGTCCCCAACACAGGTAAGAACGATCCCCAAATATGAAAGATCGTGGTTCATCATATTTTCATGGAACGTGTTCGTAAAAAAAAATCATCTAAAAATTCGTTATTTTAAACACTATATTTTTATTGTTCGTAGCAACATTAAATTTATTAGCTGGCAACTCTCTCTCTCTCTATTCTCTAAACTTACGTCATTTAAATAAAGCTGAAAATATATAATATTGAGACCATCTCTCCATCACCCACGCAGACAGTTTTCTTACATAACAAACGAACATCAAATACAAATTAGTAACAAAGAGAATTTCATATCAAATTCGTTATTTTAAGAGCTCCATTTTTTATATATTGTTAGCATATTATAACATCTGCTCATTCAAATATTGGTTGTACCCCCTTCCGATGCAGCCAAATTATTTTTTTTAAATTTATTTATAACTCTTTATATATATTATTGAAAAAATACAAAAAAAAGACAGTTTTCTTATTCATAGTATACAGAAAGGTATATTGGGTAAAACGGTGTCTTTCATAAAGCGTTATTTTTAAGATTTTCAAGTTTTTTCTGGATGGTATCATATTAGTTTAAAAATTTTAAGTTAATAATAATCTCAGGACAATTCACACAGCGCCATCTAGATCTAAGTTAACCTATTTTAATAAAGCTTGTGTTATATATTATTAGATAACTGATACATATACATAGATATTTTTTATTGTAAATACATACATATTGAAATACATAGAAAACAACGGTGATACAAACAATCA